TTTATCGCGTAGGAGGCTAAGTTAGAGGTTGGTATTTGCTTCTTGAATCTGCTTATGGCGACAGTTATCAAGGCCTTTTGCCCACCTTAAGGTAAGTTGATCAGGATAGCGCTGGGACGAAGCGACTAGCCCAGTGTACTCCAACCTCAGCTTGGCGATCTGTGAGGCAAAATTGCGTATCATTGGCTGAGTAGGTGGTAAGCCTCTATCTGTTAGTCGATTGATATAGGCGATTAGGGCCTGCTCCTGCTGTGGGTGGAGGAGCTGCCGTTTTGGCCACCTATCGCGCGTGAGGCGTGTAGGCCTTGGTGTCTTTGGGTAAGCGTAGATCGAACAACACTATATTTTTTTGCAATATCTGTATACGAAAAAGGCTCATCAGGTCCTAGGGCATTAACAGCTGCAAGCGCAGCCTCAATATTAGCCATGGTGGTGGGGATACGACGCGTTGAGGTTGAGGTGGTTGTAAGGCGCGCGCGCACTTTGTGGTCGCGCGCACTTTGTGGTGGGGCTAGTTACTACAGACTAGGTCGTATCTAGCAGTGCAGGAGAAAGACCTGACTGTCACACCTGGCCCACCACCCAACATCTATCACAAGAAAATTTAGAGTGAAATAATTGCGCAGGCTAAGATTTCGAGTGAGGCACAATATTGCGTTAACAGATTCACAGATTAATGGCGGGCATATATCAGAGTGAAAGCTTCGGTATCAAATATAGAAACTTCCGAACATCTTTTCTAATAACCCATTCTGCCATGATGTACTCGCTCAGAAAATAGTGCACCGCCACACCAGTTGTTGCGGTACACAGAGATGCACACTAGCAATTTTTCGACGCTCTGCACTTTTTGCGAAGATGCGGTGCGTAGCACTGGGAGCAGAAAAAATAAGGCTCGGCCTGAGTAATCATGTCGACAGCTCTGCAATTTGGCGCGCATTTCGAGGACGGAAACGTATGGAAGAAAGAGGCTTGGATGGTGTGTCCGCAGGCGAGCTCGTGGATGGGGCCTCCGGAACAGGGCTGCACTAGTTTTTTGAGGAGACCGAGCGCCATATTCTGTACTTTTGTGTGTGTGTGAAGTTGTTCAAGCGTGAGATTCGAAGTAATGTTGTTCAATGGGGGAAAACTTAATCACGTCGGAGTCTCCGATATTTATTGGGGGCCGGACAAAGTCGCGCTGTGAAATAGATGTGGGACAACCATTCTTTACAGAAAGACACTCGACAATGGGTCTGTCGCATAGCATCTTTCACCGTGTTTCATATTGTTTACATGGGAGGAGGGTTGAGATCGAGACCCTCGACGCTGAGCTTGAAGCTGTCCATGCGTGAATAGCTTCCTGCAGAATCAAAGTCAAGTCTCCCCCGTTCGCAGTCTTCAAAGTCAACGTCGGCAACGAGTAGCTCGTCCTCTTTCTCCCAGGCTGGCCCAGAAAGCACCTCGCCGAGAGGCGATACAATCATTGAACCACCACGGCAGACGAACTCCTCGCCGTCTGTAGAGTGTGACTGAGGCTGCGAGAAAGGCTGCTGCTTGATGGTAGGACTCTCTTCTGTCAGGTCGATGGCTGATGAATCACCGTTGGCCAGTGGATCCTGTCCTTTTGGTAGTGGTAAGCAAATCTCGTGGCCATCTTCTGTTCTCGTAATGGTACTTCGCCGTCTTGCAGCCCCGCCAGCTTGTTGCGTTATTGTTCTTCCCACACCGCCGCTGTGTCCTATGCTCGGTGACCGGGCTTTGATGTCATGATTGCCAGCAGATATCCACTCTGGAAGATGTTTCTTCTTGACGCACTGGTTTGCGCTCACCACAAAGCAGCGCCCTTCGCACCCAACCGTTCGCATCAGTGCAGCCCAAGTATCGCGCGCATCAGCGGTTGGCGCAAACCAAAGATTGACGTTCTGACTGTACAGACTCTGTCGCAGCAGCGGCATGTAGTTCTCCCAGCAGATGGCCGAGCCCATGCATAGCTTCACGCCCTTGATTTCTGTCGTCACTGCCCTCAACGTGCTCGCACTGCCCATTCCCCACACCAGACGCTCACTGCCTGTTGGCATGACTTTTCTCCTCTTTCCCAAGACACCCCTCTTCGGATCAACAAACACCGACCCACAATATAGCGTGCCTCCTGATTTCTCCACCAACCCCGTCACAATGAATACGCCCGTTTCCTTGGCAATTCTCTCCAGCTCTTCTCTTGTACCGTCGCCTCTGTATTCTTTTCCTTTGGGGAGCTCCAGCTTGCGGTCTATCCAATTCTCGCCAGCGCCAGCCGGTGTGTCGCCCATATCTACGGCATCGTGAAAGTAATGTAGGAATTGTTCGCGACCTTCTGGAGCGCGAGCGCCAACTGCAGCGCCAAACGAGCAGGTACGAGGATATCCGCCCAGATATGCTTCAGGGAAGAGGAGCACGTCTATTCCTTGGGATGCGGCGCGTTTGGTGGTAACTTCGAGGGCAGAGAGGGTTTGCGATGTTGTAGAGAGGGTGCGCGATTGCGCGGCTGCGATTCTGAGAATTTGCGGCATTGTTTGTGCATTAATCTGAAGAGGTATTTATACAAGGAATATCTGAAGATTAGATTGAATCCAGAATGATGAGAAGGTGATACTGAGAAGAGTTCAGCATGCGACTCATCCTGGTATGAGTTGGAGGAAGCTCTCCAAGCTACCCCACTACAGTGTGAGTGTTCGCTGCCCCACCTCGGACAGCGACGGGAGAACACGGCACCTTGAACAAAAACACATCCAATGGCTGGTCTGAACTTAGCCAAGGAACATCGTGAGTTTATGTATCGAGTATCATGGCTGCGAACAGCAAGAAGTGGACGGATGAGTGGAGCAGATAGGGATACTTACGGTGGAGTCGTTAGGTCCGCAAACCTCAACTCCACTTCGACGACGTCACACGGCGATGGACAGCACTAGCAGGACGAGAATTTCTTACGCCGAAGGCCACTTCGCACGTGACGCATCAGCAACATCGACATCACTGAATTGAATCCACCTCGACGGTATACCCTCAACATGGCGTCCACAGACCTCGCAGCCCATCTCTCCAACCTCATACCGGACTCTCACCCCCAGCTCCGCGACTCAGTCATTCCATCACTGTTGAAATCAATACACGCCATAGCAGGCCACCTCCGCACATCCCCCAGCGTGACACAAGTAGGCACCGCCAATGCCTTTGGCGACGACCAACTCAACGTCGACGTGCTTGCCGAAGAGGCCATCCGGGAAGCCATCAAGCAATGTCCCAGCATAGTGACGGCGAGCAGCGAGGAAGACCCAGTTGAAAAGTCGTCCACAGCAAGCACCCAGACAGACGGCGAACAATACACCCTGGCCTTCGACCCGCTCGACGGCTCTTCCATCATCGCCCCAAACTGGAGCGTGGGCACTATCATCGGCGTCTGGAGCGGGTCGACAGCCCTCAACTCGCCGCCAGCAACCCATCAAATCGCCTCTATACTCGGCGTGCTCGGCCCCCGAACCACAGCCATTGTTGCCGTGCGCCTGCCCGGCACCCGCGGCGCCTGTTTCGAAGTCGGATACTCAGACACAGGCGCCATGCAAGTGCTACGTGACGACGTGCAGCTCGGCGTACCCGAGAGCCTGAAAACACGATACTTTGCCCCCGCCAACCTGCGCGCTGCCGCCGATGACGCAAAGTACATGGCGCTTGTCACGCACTTGATCACGCAAAAGTACACGCTGCGGTATAGCGGCGGCCTGGTCCCTGATGTCGTGCACGCGCTGGTCAAGGGCCACGGCATCTACGTGTCGCCCGTGACTGCGCAGAGCAAAGCCAAGCTGAGGCGCCTCTACGAACTCGCCCCGATTGCCCTAATCCTCGAGTGTGCAGGCGGCGCAGCGCTGGACTCTGCAACAGGCGAAGCCGTGCTACAGAGGAACATTCTCGATACGGATGAGAGGGGGGGCTTGATCTGTGGGAATAAAGACGAAGTCGAGCTTGTGCGCCAGGCATTGTTGGAATAGATCCAGCCATCCATCCATCTAATCAATACATCAATACATCGTGGATAGGATAGATAGGTAACTAGATACAGTAGATAAATGGAAAGGGTAAGCAACGGCATCTAGCCATCTACCTAAGCACTAGAGTTTGAATAAATTATCCCCCTCAATTGCATAACACCCACAAACCCCGAACCAAACCCGCACCAATCTAGTTTTAACCGTATTTATCGTCGATTGGCATTTCGCAATTACCTTTTTCCTTTCCCATTTCTCCCTCGCACACTTGGCATCAGCCCGTTCCGCCCATAGATAACGCGTATATTGACTTTTTCTTTTTTTTTATCTTTACTTTCTCAACTTACTCTGCCCACCACCTCTACCTGTCCATCTGTCATTGCATAGCATGGCATGGCATGGCATGGCATAGTGTTTGCTTGCTGCTCACTCTCGGCCTCACTATCCGGTCATTATCTCGGGGTAACGGGTCTGATCACCCCAGCACACACCACACCACACCACTTCACGGCACTTGGATTCACACACACACATACATACATACTGTACATACACAGCTACACAGTTTGCTTTCCCCTCTCCCCCGTGCGTGTGCCAGCCATATCCGATCACCAGAGCTACATGCCTCAAGGCGCCTAGTCATGTATGTAATGTATAACCGACAATTATCCCGCCAGTCCATCTGTCTCGCACGCAGTGCAAACAATCCAATCCAATCCAATCCAATCCAATCCCCACGCCCGCAGCCCAACCCCCCTGCTACGCACTGCGCGTGACGTGCCCATCTCCCAATCTGAAACTCGCGCTGTGTTGCAGAAAACTGCTCTTTTCTCGGGGGACCTTTTTTTTGGTCTTGAGTTGGGTGTGGCTGCTTGGCTGGTGGGGTGGCGGCCTGGGCCCTGGGGAAACGGACCTTTTTTGGGGGGGAGGAGGGGGGTTGAGATGGGCGTGGTACGTATGTATGTACTATGGATGTACATAGTAGGCAGTTATGTAGGCATGGGGTGGCATGAGTCGCGGGGCGGACCGAACTTCACAGCGGGTGTGGGTGTGCGGGGGGATAATGAGGTGAGTGGCGTTGCATGGGGGGTATTCTTGGTGTGTGTAGGTGGTATATGGCTGATTTGCTGGATGGCAGATTGACTTTACAGCTGATTCTGCGGGTGGCGAGGTGGAATTGGGTGATGGATGGTGGGCTGTGAACTGGAGATGGTGGGATGTGAACAGTATGTAGACAGTAGATTTGTGTTTGTGTGGTTGGACTGGTACGATCAGACCATGATCTGACACACTACATCTCTATCTGTATGACTCCAGGTATGTATAACCCACTTAACGCAGTCACTCTCTGCTTCGTGGGAGGAGCGAAGAGTCCGAGTTATTGTAGCCAGATACCATACCTCCAAAAAAAACACAAAACTTGAACGTGGTATAAAGCTCCAAGTGCCAGCAACAAAAAAAAAGACAAACAATCAATCAACAATTAAGTATTGCTGTGATAACGGGGTATCGATATGTATATGTATGTGTGAGTGTGAGACTGGCTTGGTAGTCAAGTCTTCATCCACCACGACCAGTCTCGACATCGTCTCTGCGGATTCTTGATCCCGCAGCATGGACAGCAGCCCTACACCTCTCTGCCCACTCGAGTCTATCGCGCCATGCCGGGGGCTGGTGCAGCGGCAAAGACGTCAGCCCCCTCGTACTCGTATCGCTCTTCTGACTTGCAGCATCGCTCTCATACCGCACATGGAGCTTGTAATCGACGTGGATCCCGTCCATGGCAATGTCGTCTTCCGGGGGATCGCCGCGACCGCCGCGGCGTATGTGCAAGCGCTGCACAGAGGCCTGCACGGTTTTGGGGCTGGCCTGTGAGGTCGACTTGATGTCCGGGGTCTTGCCGCGGCTGTCGCTGATCGAGTACGCGGTGGGCGACGTCCGCTGGGAGAAGTAGCGGCTGAAGAAGACCTTGAGCGAGGGCGCGGACGCGCAGATGACGGCAAGATGGGCTTCGAGCGTTGTCCAGACCCAGCCGTCGTAGGCGATCCAGCTAGTGTCGTATGAAACTGGCAGGCTCGTGTTAGTTCTCTGACAGTGTAATATCCAAAGCCCAGTCAAAGTCGTCTTACAGTAATACAGCTTTGTCGCATAAAAGGTCCGCATCAGCCCGCAGATAAAGGTGATTAAACCCAGGCCGAAAATGCCGCAGAGGCCGAACTTTTGTCGCTTGCTGATTTGGAGGTTCCAAATCAAGAGGACGGGGAGCAGGCAGATGATGAGGTCCTGGACAGAGCTGATGGCTGCACAGGCCACGATGAGGGCGCCCTCGTCGCGACATTCGAGCTTGTGTTGCAAGCGCCATGCGATGTCGAAGTAGCGCCAGAAGCCTTCGATTGGGGTACATGTCCAGAGAATGATGAAGAAGATGATGATGCCGTAGATACTGCAGAAAACGATCATGCCGAATACCCCTGTTTTGGGAGTACATGGTTAGAACCCGTGTGTGCTGTGTGCGGTGAAGACTACTTACAGTGTACAAATTGGTTGGTGAGACGTTCAGAGATGCGGCGGTAGAAGCATAGGAGGGATACTTTGGTGAATACCGTCGAGGCCACATAGTTCAACTCAATGGACAGGGCAATCTGGGAGAATCAGCAGGCGTAGAAAGAATGTAGAGTACAGTGACGTACCTTTCGTGTAGCGACGAGCGACCTTGCCGTTTGGTCCCAGACATGCCATTGATAGCCATAGACCCGGATGCCTAGATAGATTAGCGAATATGACGGCACGCTCGGATGAGCCGGATCGTACCCAGCACTGTGGAGATTGTCAGCCCGATTAGCGGCAGCATGGCGACACTGATGAGAAAATCGTCGAGGCCCAGATTCTTTGATATGGTGAACCGCGCCCACATGCGCGCAACGTAGACGAGAATCGTGATGCTGAAGAAGATGAACAGCATGACGGTCGCCTCCCATCCTCTTTCCTCCGGGTTGACATGGTTCGGCGCCGGCCAGGTTTGCACCACTTCTGGCGGTGGATTGAGGCCTCCACCACGAGCAACGAGGCGGCCAACCAGGGAGCCTGTGCTTGCGATGTACATGTTAAACCGTGTGACGGTGGGTGTTGAAGTTGGGGATCGAAGGTGCAAGACGGAAACAAATCAGGCATCGCATTCAAAGAAAGCCAGACATGCTGGGTGGGAAAGGGAACATGTATACGGCATGTCGCAAAGGTGGGCTAAGAGCCACTGACTCTCTAGCATCATGTGGGTCTATATTTTCCGCACCTCTAGCCAAAACGCAAGTGGATTGATCAACGATATGCTACCATGCTTACCCTGTGCATCTGCAATCAGCCATGTGTAGAACCGGATTTGGCCGATTTTGCCCATGTTTGATTGCTTTGGTTGGGCCAAAATGGCCGTTTCGATCAGCATTAGAGTCCTCCAAACGAGTAAGAAGATGTGATAGCCAGCATGACGGTCAAGTGCGTTCTCATGTTGCTCAATAGCATGACGAAAATTGCGCAAGCGAAGGCGGGCCTCGGAATATTGACCCGCCCCATTGGTTCCTGGTCGTTAATACGGCATATATCACAACGTCCTGTTCGCTGGCGCGACGTGGGAGGTCCTGGTGCCACACGTGGTATGCGAAACCTAGTGGCATACTTGATGGCGCCGCCTGACCGGCAGCGGTAGTGCTCGGGACCTGGCACCTTGGCCATGGAAATTGGCTGTTCTGGGCATCCTTTGCCGATGGCGGCAGAAGCCAAGTGTCGACGGCTAGCACATACATATTAACATATGCTCATTCTCCGCCAGCAGCTTGGCGATCTACACCCATCTCCACTGAGTTGCCGCTCGCCCTGCGAAACCACTCTTGGCATCCTCTAGAGCCCCATCAGCACTCACGGCAAGGACTCGCTTTCTTGGCTTAGACGCCGAATTCCGCCAAGGCTCTCTATGCGAACCGCTTATGTGTGCGGGCCGGGCCTGGATCGGGTCATCACCTTCTTTGTCTTGACCGAGAGGCCAGCAGAAAGACGAAGAGATCGTCGTGGATACTAACCTCAACTACCTAGTAGACGGCGGCTGGAGAGAAGATCAGAAACACGTGCCGCACTGACACGAGCGGCAGAAGGCAGCTAGACTGCTCTAGTCGTGTCACCAGATTCTTTCCTTATCATGACGGCGTGCGAAAAGATGCCGAACTCGCCTACACCTCCGCAAAGGCGAGCGAACGGGCTTAGGATCCAAACTAATGTGACCGGACGCCTCAGTAGCGACGCCTCTCCTCATTCTGGGGCCCACACGGGGTTCGTGTCCGGGCCGCTGCTCAATTGTCAGCCGTGCGGGACTCGTTGATGTACAGTTCGCAGCTGTTTGGGTGGATGGCACACGTATCGGTACACCTTCTGTGAAATTGGACCCGGTCCCCATCACGAAACATGTCGCCCAATCTCGGCGAGGGGACAATGGCATGCAACAACACCATGCGATGGGATTTGCAAAGGCTGGAAAGAGTGGGATGGCATGCATGCCGTTGATATTGGGAGCCAGGGAAGTGTCCATCCAAAGAGGGCCGGAGTAAGTAAGTGCTGACATCATCCGCCCGGTGCCTACATGTGCATGTTGCATGTCGTCTTTAACCCCATTCTTCAACTCTATACATGGGCGAATTACTCGCCTCACCTCCTATCCAATCTGCGTCTTAACAGCCATTGCTAATGGCCATGGTTCCTCGGCCCACTCGCAATACTCTGCCTCGGACGCTCTTTGCTCCGAGGCATCCACCCACCCGGGCCCCTCCTTTGAGTACCCCGGGATTCGGGAGCGGCGCGGCCGATGCCCATATGGTTCGTTTCCTCGCCCATCCGATCTGCTATCTATGTAGCTAGAGTTGTAGGGCCGGTTCGTACCATTGTGACTGGCTGTCTTGCTCTTCTTCTGGTCAAAAAGGGAAGCGTGGCTTTTCCCTGCATGTGCAATGCACGTCTGTCTTTGGCAAGCGACAAAATGTTACTGGCCGCAAATTGTGATTATTTCAAAGCAAAGTAAATGCTTCCATGGCCTTTCGGACGGCCTCGGTGGCGGCGCTCTCAGCAGGCAGCCTGACCCATGTGTCAGGCGGTTGACTGGGGTGTCCATCCACGGGGTTCGCAATTGTTTCCTGGCTCGTCCTAACCTTTTCCTTCTGTACACAAGGAAGCTCAGTCGCTGGCTCACGGTAGCTCCAACTCGCGCCATTGTGCGCCGAAGCGTGCGGCCTGGCTGGTTTCCTTGCTGCTGTCGCCATGCCTGGACGCTTGCGGGGCGTTACTGGCTCTTCTTCTGCATGGCCTTCGTCCCTGACGCCGCCAAAGCCGTCTTCGCGCATGAAGCCGTCAAAGAACTGGAGGCGCGGCTCGTCAAACTTGGACACGGCCTTGCACGCGCGGTAGCCTTTTCGCAGCAACGCAGCAATGTACCTCTCGGCCACGCGGCGCACTTCGCCGTCCTGACTCGGCTCGCTCCCGTCCATGGCGGCGTCATGATTCAGGCGTAGGGTCAGGCCTTGGAGAGCTACTTCTGCGCGCACCACGTCGGTGAGGCACGTCGGGCATACAAAGGGGTAGCCTTGCACCGCCCGCGCGCAAAGCACGCCACAGCTCGCCGTGTACTCCGTCTGGATCCGGTGGCCACACTGAAGGTCGTGAAAGGTCGAGGATGCATTGCACGGGCTGTACATGTCCTGGAACTGCTGCTGGTCGCGTTGGGCACACGCGACGAATTGCTGCTTCTCTGCCGCCGCCAGCCGAGCATGAAATGCCTCAATGGTAGCCCGCGCGCTGGCCGTCGTCGCCTGCGTTGTCGTCGCCATGAACGAAAAAAAACGTGATGTGAAGCTCGTGTTGGTTGCGGATCCGGTATGGTGTAGGTTGAGAGATGCAGATGGGAAAATGGGCGATGCGGGGGCGCTGGGTGTGGGTGTGGGTGACGGATCGACCAGTTCCAGGCCGCTGCTTGGGCCCCCTCCCGACCGCTTGTCGCTAGTAAGTAACTAAGTAAAATGGCTGTGTACCTGTGATGTCCCTTTTGCCCATCACCATATCAAATCGGCCCGCAAAGTACATGTACGTGTACACGCAATCCTGCTACTGCTAGGAGATACTAGATGCTCAGCTTATGCACCCACTACCCGCAGATTCTCCGCCCTATCAGCAAGCTCGACATGACCACGCTGCAAGTGGCACGTGTTTTGCTATGTACACCTACAAGTTAGCAGCCCGCATCGATATATGGAGGATTAAAAAGACCAATAGAGAAATTCCTGTTGATACACAGGCCTGCAATAGGTGGGTCTTTGAGTATCATGGCCCTGCTAGTTTTGAGTAATCAGAAGGCTCTTGAACTGAGCATTCGTGTTATGCATGGATTTTGCTTCATCACCAAAGCAACGACATCGACATACACAGATTTAGCAGCTCGCTTCTTTGTTGAATATGACTATTATCATATTGCTCCGTCTCATCCAGTAGTTGGTGATGCGAATTTCTATCGAACATGCTATGTGCTACTTACACCAGATTCACAAAGGCAAAAAAAAGTCCCACAGCTCGCACGAGTCCATACCAAAACATGTCTAGCAGAAAAAAAGCACCCCTCCCCACCATCCCCTCTCTAGCCATAAACTCCAACATGGAAAAGAGTCTAAACCCGACTAATCACCACATCAAACGGCGGATAATGCAACTCGACTCTGCCTGCCCCCCGCTCCACCAGCACCAACTTACTCAGTGGCCACCCATTACTATCCTGGAAGCCATCAAAGTCGAACCAATCACACGATTCCAGCTCAGGAAACATCATTCTCCAGACCTGCGCGCCGGCGCCAAACTGCGCTGTTTCGGCCGCGCCCTCGGCCGGCTCCAGCACGACACCCTGAGGGGACGAAAACAAGATGGGCTGCGCGTCTGGCGTCCAGGAAAGCCGGTCCACGGCTTCGAGCGCAGACGTGCCGTTTACGATGAGTGAACGGAGATATAAGGTCCCGGCCTCGACTTCCAGCCTTGCGTGCGTTCGCGTGCTCCGGCTCGCGGTTACCACTTGGTCGTGCAGCAGACCCGTATCGTGAGCCTTCATGTAGTGCCCTGCAAAGCGGTCGACCGTCCTTTCAGCAAGCGCTGTGATGAATGCCGGTGCGAGAATCCCGTGTAGCGTTGTTTTGAGCTGGCTCGGTGATACGGCTTGGTAGTCTTTCAGGCCGGATTGCTGAGCGAGTATCACAAGACCATAGCCTAGATTGGGGATTGTGTCGATCCACGAGGCCCAGCCGCCGCCGTTGCCGGACTTGCCGAAGATGCTGTATGTTTTTGTGGGTGGCGACTCGGTAGTGCCGTCGCTCTCGTTGCTGGATGCCAGTTTCAGAAGCTCGATTTCCCAACCTGGTCCAGTTTGCTGCACGCCGTCGGGCAGGTTGATGCTGGGTTTCATGGCATCTCGTTGCTGGAACTTTGATATGAGCGGGGGGTCGGGCGAGAGCCACATGTGGTATAGGTAGCTGGAAAGGTCGTTTGCTGAACTCCACATGCCGGCTGCTGGGTCGTAGCCCTCGCCTACCAGTAGATCAGCCCAATTTTCCCCGCCGGGGATGCCCACGTCTGGCATGAGGTTTTGTGGTATGGCGCCGAAGAAACTATGCGTCATGTTGAGCGGTGTTAGGAGCTCCTGGGTAGCAAACTCCGACCATGTCAAGTCGCTTCCTGTAATATCATTGTAGTGTGTAGCCACGGCCGCTATATGCTTGTTAGAAACACTCAAAAAAGGGGGGCTCCAAAAGAAAGTGGGAGGCGCACCACCGAGAAGTCCTATGCCAGCATTCGAATCTACACCACAGTCAATCAAGAACTCCAAATCACCCTGCTCCAGACTCCAACTTACAAGCCGCCCTCTGCCCAGGCGCAAACATCAAGCTCCTCGCCTTCACGCCCTCAATCACATCTTGTGCAGTCTGTCCCGCCCACGCCGCCCCTATCGTCGGCGCATCCGCCTTGCCCGTGCTCAGAATCATATTGAAACCCGTGCTATAACTTTCCCTCGGGATCCCCGCCGTGTGGCTCGCCAGCATACGTAGTGTAATCTCGCTGCCGCCATCTCTCCAGTCTCGTTCCGGGAGCGCGAAAGCCGGGAGTAAAAGCCTGACTGGCGTATCGAGCGAGACTTGTCGTTTGTGCGACAAAGTTACATTGGAGTTGTTGGCGAGTACGAGGGAAGACGATAAAGCGATATTTTTGGATATGGAGAGAATGCGGAAGATGGAGTCGCTGGTTACTTTATTCCCTTCGCTCCCCCTATGGACCCTGCTGTGGGTATATTGGGTTTCCGGATACCATGCAAGCGTCTCATTGAATTTTAACGTCCCGTTATTGAATGTAAAGATTGGCGCTGGGCTTGAGGCGTGGACCTAGAAAACAGGCATTGTAAACACCTTGGCCAGTGACTCTATTTCCACGGAGGGAGTTGCAGAGAGAAAAGGTCGTTGGTGAAGGGAAAAGGAAATGATAGACCGCAATACATACAATAGCAACGCTGAGACCATCCCGCGTGGTGTTCTTATACAGCGCCGAAAGATTCCTTTGCACTTCGTTCAATGCCAGGAGAACAGCTTCGTGCTTGAGCACGCGCGGATCAGAAAGTAAAGCCAAGGCGACATCCGGAACGCAAGCGGCTGCCGCAAAAGCAAGCACGTAGCCCGCTGCTAGCAGTACAAAGGAGGCCTGCATTGCACTGCTGGGTTGCCGTCCAGAAACGGGCGAGGACGAGCGGTAGGGAGAAGCCGCAAGCAGCCAGCGGTGCTGCGAAGTCCAGGAATGTCGAAGGCGTTGGTACTTGGCCGTGTACTTGTATTACCAGCTGTGTTTTTAACAAGCAAGCATGCATGCCTGTCAATCGGTGAGCAGCGGCCGCGTCTCGGCTGCTTATCCCACCCGGTTCTCTCCTAACGTGCTGTGGCGGGCGACACGACGACACGTTGAGTTATCTGTGCCAAGTACCGCATGTGTTGTTTTGCAATTCCTGGAGAGAGACCAGCACAAAGAGCCAATCAAGCGTCTTGTATTTCCCATTACCCTCGCGCGAGCTGAGTCACCTGCCTGATTTAGTTATCTATCTACAGAGCTTGTTTGGTTCCAGTTGATAACCTCTGTAGCTGCAATGTAACTCACCGTACAACCTATAGGTAAACAAAATCGTGGCTTCGCATTCCGGGTAACAGCCAGTATGTATCTACTAGCTCATCGTGCCTCTCAGTCAGGCAAGATACTTCCAAATCCCTTGCCCCGAGATGACGACGAAAAGGACCGACGGCAGACTGCGGTGAGTTGTGAGCATGGGGGGTGAGAAAATGGGGGGTAAAAAGGACATGGGGACGGAATAGGGATCTTCATTGCACCCCACTTATGATCTGGTGGGGTGATGGGGCCGTACGTATGACCCTGTGCTTCCCGTCCTGAATTTCTTTTCATCCGCCCGGGTGATCGACGAGACCTTGTTTCCCGTGTTTGTTTTGTTGCTCATGTGCATGCTGAGTGGTTGGTGTTTGCCGTGCAATGCAGGGCTCCTGTGCAGCTGGGGAATTTTTAGACCTTGGGGAATATGTGGGTCCACGCTGTAGGTACCGTCAGGTCAGTTCGTCTCTCATATGAAACCGATATCACATGTGCCATCACCAACGAGGGAAATGACTATTTTGAAGATTACAACGTATATTCAATTGCTAAAACGAACGATGAGAATGTTGTACAACGTATCATCTGCCAGTGAAGAAATCAGTACGCCGTGCATAAAACAAACAATCCCCAAGCCATGCGTTCAAGTCAGTCATGCAACCACCCATCGCTAAAGTAACAGATGCTGAACGTTAAAAAGTAGCGCATTCAAATAAACACTGTTAGCTCCTAGATGATGCTTCCCCGAGAGGCGCAGCGAGCGCGGATATCTAGTTATGAGATCAAATCAAATCCGGCATCGACGGACGTGTCAATGGACGTCTGGGCTTTGGGCCCTGAGTGTTGCTTCGTTCGCGCTCTTCCATGGCACTGAGCCTCAAGTGCAATGCCTCCATCTTCTTTCGTAGAACTTCTTCTTCTGACATAGCACCAGCGGGCCTGACTGATGGCCGGGAAGGAGGTGATGCCATGGCTGGAGGTCCAGATTTGCGCTCCGTGGCTGAACCGTTGTGAGAAGAGGCTGACGCAGGTTGCCCGTGGGAGGCATGAGTGTAAGAAAGCCGTGGGGATCCGGATAGTTCACATTGCGTGACGGGCTGCTGCTTTGCCTGGTTCGAACTCACGTTTGGATGAGGTTGTGGGCGCGCAGCTCTCATGTGCATTTCTCCATGCTTCAGCGTGCTTGCTGATGCACCAGCCGACACGTTGTTCTTTTGTGTCGCTGATCCCTTGGCATCTCCACGTTCCATACCACAGCTTTGACTACAACCCTCCGTCGTCGTGCCTGGTGCTGGCGCCGGCGCCGGCGAACTTTGGGTCGGCGATGCAAGGGTTTGCCTCAACCTACCCAGTGTCTGAACAAGGATGATACAGTTCTTGCACATGAGCGAGCCCACAGGCTCTGGGTTTGTTCGAGGTAGCGAGCTAAGACTAGAGGCGTTACTCATGTAGATGTGCCGCACACTTGAACTTGAGTTGCCGCAAATAGTCTGTAGCTTTTTGACGTTTGCTGGAGGAGCCGATGCTACTGGCCTTGCATCATGACTCCTCCGCCACTGCTCAATCTTCTCCTCGGTAGTCATGGATCGTGCAAAGTTTGAGAAGAGAGAGGGGCCTGCAAAAGGTTCAAAGTCGATATCGTCTTGCTTCTGGAGCTCAGCAGGCAATGTCGCAGCGCGTGCAACTGGTCTCAACCAGGGCCGTGTCATTTCTTTTGGGATTCCTGGTGCGCGTAGCCGTGGTGCTTCTGCTTCGTTGCTCTGTTGTCGCGGGGACGCCTGTCGTTGACCCAGTGTCTTGGCGCCCGACTTTCCCTGCCTGATGATTGCAAGCATCGCATCACCCTTCGGGGCCGTGCTCAGGTTCTCATATCCACGGGCAGTGATCAGGATATCATCCTCTATACGGACACCACCGACGGGGAGGTAGCGTTGAAGTACTGAAACGTTGATGAACTTTGAGTGAATTGGCGACGTCAGGTAAAAATGTTGCAGAGCATAGACCGAGAAGTAAATGCCGGGCTCAACCGTTACCACCATGCCCTCCTCAAGATGGCTGCTTTGAGGATCTGTTGGTGCATGACATGTCTCCGGGTTGTATACAGGGCTGTGAAAGTTCTCTGGATACAGTGAGGGGGCCTGTCATAATTAGTCGCTGTCAACCCACTAGCGCGCGCGTCTTAAACTGACTTGTTGGTAAACCGGCTTTCCTCTTCGAACGCTCATCAGTTCTGCCTGACCAGGATCGTGGACCTCGAGGCCGACGTGATGTCCCAAGCCGTGCGGAAAGAAGGCTCTGCTGGTGCCTGCTTTGTAAATTTCTTCCTTGGTTCCGTTGTGCAGGATGCCAAGCTGCAAGAGGCCATTGATGGCAATTTGATGCGCCAGAATATGCAAGTCCAAATACCGAACGCCAGGGGCCAGTCTTTCTATGCATGCCTCCTGCATGCGCTGGACCAGCTTGTAGACGTTCTCGGCTTCTTTGCTGGGCCACGAGGCAGACAGTGGAAACGAACGGGTGATGTCGCTAGCATACAATTCATACTCACATCCAGCGTCCAAGCACATGAGCTGTCGATCTGCAAAGTCCTCGTTGTTGGCATCATAGTGCAAAGTACCTGCATTCGGTCCTGATGCGGCAATGGGGTCATAGGCTTGCTGCTTGGCTTGACGTGATATGCACACGTCCACGAAAAGACCTTCAACCTGGGCTTCGTTGGTGAATTTGAGAATGTTCTCGAGCACCTCCCGATGCGCCTGCGAGCTGATATCATTCGCTTTCCGGATGAGGCTGATTTCGTGGTCGTCCTTGACCATGCGGCAAATGTTCATGGCCGGCTGAAGGGATTGAGAGTCTGTGCGAGGAGCGAGATTTTCACAGCCTGGGACCTGCGAAGACGGATGCAAAACGTAGAGGGCGGCGTGGCCATTGGCATAGGCCCAGCCTTGGACGTAGTACTGTAGCTCATCGGCGTAGAAGACCTGGTCAATGTCGTATTTGGCGAGCGCCTCGGCTTGAGTAGAGCCACGGCCGTTCCAGATGACGCGCGCAGGATTGATGCGTGGGATGAAGAGAGAGAGCACATCGCGTCGCACATCATAGGTCAAATGGCAGTTGGGTTCGTTGCATCTTGCCTCAGTCAGCACGTGCTCGACAGGCAAGTCGACGACTTGGGCTCAACCCACCCGCTCAAGTAGTAGAAATAGCGCCGTTGGCGGAAGGGCGCTGGCATGTCGCTGTCTTGATTGTTGACTGCCGGCTGGCCTGGGAGGTAGATCAAGCCTTGGTCGATGCCCAGCTTTTCCTGCACGCGGCGCGCATGTTGTTTGGCTGCGCCGGATTAGAAGGAAGCGCAGGCTGAGCAGCGCGGGTGCTTGCTTACCTGGATACTTTTCCAAGGGCGTGTCGGCCTCCATGTGCAGCCAGTACTCCTTGTCTTGGGATCTCAGGCGGTCGGCCAGGCTCGTGTCATCGAGAACCTCCATGGTGGTACCTTTGTCTGGCCTGGCAAAGCGCAGCGAATGCGAAAAGTGTAGCTTCGGCGGAGGCGCGGTCGCTCTATTAGTGTTGTCGAGGTGCTTGACCGGTGAAGCCCCAGAAGCCGTGCAGAGCGCCAAGACTCCGGTCAAGCAGCCGTGGATCACCACCGGTTTTTTCTTTTGAGCAGGTCAAGAGCCTTCTAGTCCCGCAATGGCCGTCGCAATGGCGTAAGGCGCTGACGCTGGTTTTCATTGCACAACCACGGCCATGCTGGCCTTGGCCGGGGGGGTCGTGGTGGCCAGGCGAGGGCGAGGGCGAGGGTGCTCAGCCGCGCCTCTTTGCGTCGTGCCGCTGTCTCGACCCCGCGCGCTGCCCTTTTCCGCCCGCCGCATGATGCTGTGCGACGCCGTGTCCGTGTGGTGTGTATTGTTCGTCTTGGTGGCTCCGTTGGGCGCCCGCAGGTGAGCTTCACCATGACGGCGGCGGCGGGCGAGGGCTGCGACACGAGGCGAAGGGCTGCGGCGCGGCGCTGATTGGCTGCGGCGCTGACCGGTCGCCTGCCGCATCTCGACGTCGGCCTCGCGACGTGCAATGTCACAAAGGGGCACGAGAGAAGCATAGCGGAACCACCGACAGGCCCTGCCCCTCCCACGCCCGTCTCGCATGACAATGTTTCGAAACAAAATAGCCGGCTGCCATGTTGACCGACCCAATCGACGCCCCGCTGCGACGAGGCGGTCAGTATCCTTGCGTCTTACGAGAGCGGGCCTCCCTACAGTATACCCATACCCTCTGGTCGCCTCGCCCCGGACACGATGCTGCCGTTGGTAGCGCCCCAGCGGCTGGCGTGCAGCTGTCATGTGAGCCAAACCGCCTTCAAACATGGCCTTGGTCATCTCAGCCGCTAGTCCCATCCAAACAAGCACGGCGAACGACGTCCGTGACAGCGCCCGTGACAGTGCCGCTACTCTCCCTCTATACACGTCTTCAGCCTCTTCACTCCGGCACGCTCGTCCATTCGCCGCACGTCCGGTGAAGTCGATGCACCGTAGAGGGCCGGGAATCACGAGTCCCTCTGTATCATGTAACATGGTCCGTTTGATATCGCCATCGTTGAAATATAACTATGGCACACATGGAACGCCGGAACTGCCCCGCAACAATGGTCCAGCAAAGCCTTGCTTGTGACGTAGATAGGCGGACCCTTCCAGCACTGCCAGTGTCACCGTCTCCTTGCCATTGCCATCAATCGTCTGATTATTCGTCACCGTCTTCGTCTTCGCCCTCATCATCCATGTTCTCGTCCGAGTCTGAGCCGTCACTGTTCGACACGGACGGTCTGTGCGGCCACTGCACAAAGACCTGCTCTACCAGCTCCTCCCAAAACTTGTCCATGCCCTTGCCTGTGTGTTCCTTCTGCTTCAGCATCTCCCCCTCCCCGCTCCCTTTGAAGTTTACAAACATGTGTTCCTGCTGCAGCATGCCCACTTTGACGTGATTAAGATGCAGCTGTGGGATCTTGGAGACCATCTCAAAGAGGTCTCTCCATAGGTTGGGCCTGTGGTCATGTGGCACCGCCCCGACAGCATGGAGGTTCATCCTCCAAAGACTGAGATCCTCCAAAGTTGGCGCAAACTTGGAGATGAGCAGGACAACTAGGTTGGGCACGATATTGAGCTGGCCGAGCTCAAGCGTTTTCAATTGCCGAAGGGCAATTGGGGCCGGGTTGAGGAATGTAGCATTTGCCCGGCCTGTGGGCGCTGGCTCGCTGAGCCACCGCAAGAAGGCCTCGTTATCGATGATCCGGTGTTTCTCAAAGTTCAGGCGCAAATGTGTTAGATTTGGCGTGTACCCCAGGAAATATCGAAGCGCGCGGCCTGGATGCGGATCGGCCGAGGTGCCGTTGCTGTGGGTATGCAACGAGCAATGGATATGGCCAGCATTCAACAACAGCGTGGTCAAATTACGCAACACAGGCTCTACCGCCGGGCGGAGGAAGTCTGGAAGGGCAAAGGCCGTGTCGAGTAGTCCGTAATGTCGAAGCAGCACCTCGAACTCAGGAGGATGTCGATTGGCTCTTCCCAGAGCATACATGACAGTGGAAAAGACGCGCGAAACAAAACGCGCGCTGATTTCCGGAGAGTAGGAGCCACGGTCGGCAAAGTTGAGCTGGAATCCCGTCTCGCGGTACACGGTTGTTGCACCCCACGACGACCAGCTCTTCCCATCGCGAGTGCGGTTGTTGGCGTCAAAGTCGCGGATGCCCACCGTGTGGAGATTGTCGAGCCGTGAGAAGGCCTCGGTGAGCATCTCACGGTCTACGCCTGTACTCAGCAAGGCATTTTGATCTTCGCAGCCGCGGATGTAGCGGGCAGCCGACTCCTCGTTCCTGAAGCGCAGTGGTATCTCCTCGTAGATGTTGGTGGCAATGATGACGTGGGTCAGCTTCTTGGAGAAGCTGGCGTGCTTGGAGATGTCGATCAGAGCCTGCAGACTGGCATGCGTGAGCATGAATTGCTTTTTGCTGAAGAACTCCTTGGAGAACCACTCGTAGAGCGACTTCTCCGTCTGCTTGCACACCAGACGGAGGGCGCCGAGATCCTCGGTGGGCAGGAGGGCCGAGATGGCCACGAGCAGCTCGAGCGGAATCGTGAGGAGCGATGGCATTGCGGGCGAGGGGCGAGGGGGGAAGCTGGCCCCGACAGCCGCAGAGCATGTCGTCGTTCTTATCATGTGGTCGCGCGTGAAGGTCGCGCGCAGGCAGACATGCAGCCTAGTCCGCTTCGGGGCTGATGCCTAAGGGCGCTCCTTCCCACCACGCGCCACTCGTCTCATCGGCTGCCTGATGTCCAGTTTGGGAGTGGTTGGCACAGAGTTCAAATAGCACCTCTCGCCTACTGACTTCAGCTGCATCGCATCCCACCTCGCCAGCTTCCCATTGCCCCAATTGCCCCAATCCATCGCTCCAATGGCCCGCAAGGCAGCGCAAAAGGCCCCTCCCCCCGCTACGCCCCTGGACGGGTGCTCCGTCGCGACATCCGGCCGTTTCCCCGGAACATCGCAGTCGGCACTACAGTCGCGCCTAACGTCACTGGGTGCGGCGATCGCATCCAGCGTCACGGCAAACACGACCCATCTCATTGCGACGGACAAGGACTTTGAGAGCAACTCGACCAAGGTCAAGGCCGCAGCCGCGAACAGCGTGCCCGTCGTGACGATTGAATGGCTGGACGAGTGCGAGACGACAGGTATGCTGCATCTTTTGCGACATGTTTGAATTTACCAGGAGCCTTGAGGTGGAGTCGAGGCATTCCGGCTAATGCTCGAGGCAGGCTCCAAGGTCGATGAGAAACAGTACTTGCTGTCGTCTGCCCCAGCACCTGCGCAGAATGGCTCAAAGAAACGCGCTGCATCTTCAACACCGCCAGTCCCGTCGCAGGATAAGCGACCGAAGATCAAAGAGGATGCCAAGGTGGGCGACGGCCAAAACGCAAAATCAAAAACAATTGCCATTTCCATAGACGAGTATTGCCCTCTTACGCACTATGAAGTGTACATTGACCCCGACGGCACGATATATGACGCCTCGCTCAATCAGACCAATGCTGGGGCAAACAACAGTAAGCAGGTGTTAAATTTACAGCCTCTGATGCAAAAACTGACGCTATTCCTGTGCAGACAAGTTCTACAAATGCCAGGTGTGTTAGGCGGCTGCAACGACTCTGGGCTCTGCTAACCGAAACAGCTTCTTACCAATGGGTCAGATTACAAAACTTGGGTAAGGAGCACTGTTGCCCACGTGTTTTTGTGTGTACATGGTATACTAATGCATGTTGTTGGTAGACTCGCTGGGGTCGCGTCGGTGAGCGTGGGCAGAATGCCATGTTGGGAAACGGTACTCTGAGTGATGCCATGAAGAATTTTGAAAAGAAATTCAGGGACAAATCAGGGCTCAAATGGGCGGATCGCGGCGAGGAGCCAAAGCAGGGAAAGTACGCATACGTTGAGCGTTCGTACAACCCTGATTCCGAGGACGAAGACGACGATGAGCCCGCGGGCGATGGTGCTGCTGATGAAAAGAAAGACGTGAAGCCTGCCGAGTGCACCCTTGACACACCTACACAGGATCTCATGAAGCTCATCTTCAACCAGGTAAGCACAGGACACTTGCCACTTGGCGATGGATTGCACCCACTGTGGAACTTCCGCGAGGATCCTTAGCTAACACTGACGAGGATTACTTCAACGCCACCATGAGCGCTCTGAATTACGATGCAAACAAGCTGCCACTGGGCAAGCTGAGCAAAGGAACGATTGCACGCGGTTTCCAAGCTTTGAAGGAACTGTCTGTGCTTCTAGACCAGACTGATCCCGGATCTATTGCAGAGGTGGAGCGTCTGTCCAACCACTACTTTTCGGTGATTCCGCACGCCTTTGGCCGCCAGCGACCGCCAGTAATTCGAGACAACGATGCCCTTAAGAGGGAGATTGAGCTACTCGAGAGTCTGTCAGACATGAAGGAGACTGCTGCCATGCTCAAGAGCCAGCTGAAGGACGACAGCGGCATCCACAAGCTCGACAAGCAATTCCAAGGCCTGGGCATGAATGAGATGACACCGCTTGACCACAGCAGCCAGGAATTTGTTGAGATTGACAAGTACCTCAACAAATCCAAGGGTCCGACACATGCAGTCAACTACAATGTACAAGACATCTTCCGCATTGAGCGCAAGGGCGAATTCGAACGCTTCGACAAGAGCATCTACTCGAAGATTTCGAGCAACCGCCGCCTCCTGTGGCATGGCTCGAGGGTCACGAATTGTAAGCACATGTCTTTTGATGATTTGGGGTGACACAGAAACTGACTTTGTGTGCGAACGTACAGACGGCGGTATCCTTAGTCAGGGTCTCCGAATTGCACCTCCCGAAGCGCCCGTGTCTGGGTACATGTTCGGCAAGGGCATCTACTTGGCCGACATGTCGTCGAAATCGGCGAATTACTGCGCGTCGTACGACTCTGGGGGAACAGCGCTGCTTCTGCTGTGCGAGGCGGAGCTGGGCAATCCCATGCATCAGCTCACGGACGCATCGTACACGGCCGGTGAGGATGCGCGTAACCAGGGCATGTACAGCACGTGGGGAATGGGAGAGAGGGGCCCGAAAAAGTGGAAGGATGCGGGGTGTGTGAATGGGGCGCTGGCCGGCTGCATGATGGTAAGTGTGGTTTTTTGTTTCGTCTTGTGCAGAATGCCATGGGATGCTGACGATTGTGACAGCCGGATGTGGCGACAGCACCTGGACCGACGAATGTGCCTGGAGCGTACTTGATGTACAACGAGTATATTGTGTATGATGTTGCGCAGGTCAAGCTGCGGTACTTGCTTCGCGTGCGCATGTAGAGGCATGTAGAGCATGCTAGAGGTATGTATGTATGTATGTATGTGTGTGTGGAGTGTGTTTGAGCAGATGGTTGTCGGGTGCTTGTAGCATTAGCAAAGGGGATTCGGCGTTTAGGCCAAAGGGAGCCATCGGTCGGACAGTCAGTCGGTTAATGAGTGCTGAGGCTTTAATCTAGTGCAATGAATGTTCCAAAACATATGCTGCTTCCATTGAGAGAGATCTATTTGCAATCTATGAGTAGAATGAATGCACAGCAACATGGAGAGATGGGATAGGGTATGGTTTTTGTATTCTAGAAAGCAAAAAGAGCAGCAAAGGGCCATCATTGTACTGGGTTCATGATCAAGTGATCCACATTGGGGGAGGGTGGCATGGCGCCGGTATAGACATAACACATGGTCAAACGCCAAAAAGAATCAGTCATTGAGGGGGACAAGGGCTCTACTCGCGGCCGGCAACCCTCCTCTCGTAGTCGTCGGTGAGCCTGGAGGCGTCGACGACGTCGACGCCCTTGCCCAGGCCAATCATGTCGGTGACCTGCCACCAGCGCACCGTGTGCTCGCTCTCCTTGCCCCTGCGGGCGGGGCCCTCGTCGTCTGTGTCGACGAGGCCGCCAAGGCCGGTGCCGTCGGCGCCCACGACGACAATGGTCTGGCCCACCCACTTGCGGACGTCGTCAATGTTCTGGCCATTGACGCCGCTGAGGGCATCGACGACGTAGACGAGGTCCGGGGCGAGGTGGCGCACCATGTGCACGTAGCCCGCCGGGGTGGTGAAGGGCAGCAGCATGGCCGGGTCCTCGACGAGGCGCAGGGCCTGCGAGTGCAGCGTGTGCCACAGCGACGTGTCGGAGCCGCGGGCGCTGGGCGCGGGCGTGTAGACGACGGGCTCGATGGACTGCAGCTCTTCGCCGGGCGTGCGGGCGGGCGTGCTGATGGCCGAGTACGAGTCGCCCAGCGACAGCGAGCCGGAGCGCGAGTTTGCGCGAGACTGGGGGCGCGAGCGCAGCGAGGGGGCGTAGACGAGGACGAAGAGCTTGGTCCTGGCGAAGTCGGTGGCGGGCAGGTGGGAGAGGACGGTCTGGGCGTGTTAGTATGGTGGTGGTGGTGGTGGTGGTGATAGTAGCAGAGTAGGAGAGCACTCACGGCCGTCTCTTCCCGGTACGAGTCGTCGTCGTCGTCGTCGAGGTCGCGGTCTGCGAGGCTCTCGGCGCTGACGACGAGCACCACCGTCTTCCTCTTGCCCCAGTCCCTGGGGGCTCTGGGCGCGGCCTTCCTGAGGCTCTCTGCAAAGCCGCGTGCGTGCGAGTCGACGGCGGCCCCGCTCTCGCGGCTCTGGGCCTCGATGTTCCTGCGCAGCGCCGCCTCCTCGCTCCAGCGCGAGTGGTCGCCAAAGGCCTCGTCGCGGTCCTCCTCGCGGATCGAGGCCAGGGCAGCGCCCGCCGCCGCCCAGCCCGCCGCCGTCTTCTTGCTCACCGTGTCGAACAGCTGCTGGGGCGACGGCGTGCGGCGGATCACGCCCTGCGCGAGGCCCAGCAGCGAGGCCTCGTTGCCCCAGCCCTCACCGCCTGCGTCGCCCGTGGCGACATCGCGGGGCCTGCCTTGCCGCTTCTCGAGGGCACTGTCCTCGCCGTAGCTCAGATCGTCGTCCGAATTGTAGTCGCGGCCGTCCTCGCGCGCGCTCCACACCCACGCCGCGAGCCCGGCCGTCGCAACCGTCACCGTCACGATCAGAGGGACATAGAAGCCGAGCGTGCTGCGGTTGCGCGAGCTCGACTGGCGCCGGTCGTAGCGGTCGTAGTTGAATGACGACATGGCCTAGGGCATGTCGCTGTGTCGGGGCGAGTCGTGCAGTCGTCGGGGGGTTTGGAGCCAGGAAAAAAAAGAAAAACAGCCTGTGTGCGGGTGGAAATGGGCGAGGGTGTTTTGGTCTCGGGTGTCAGCTGCAGCAGCGGTGCTCCGGCCTCCCTGTTGTGGTGGTGGCTGGGCTGGCCGAGACAGGGAACAAGCTGCCACTGCCGCTTGACACATGCCCGACCCCCCGCGGCGGCACCCGCGAGTCAGGCCCGCCTCTTGTTGCCTGCTGCCGCTGCCGCTGCCGCCCTGCCGCGGGGTGACTCTTACCTACACACGCATACACACGCACACACACACCCCCCCACATCTCTGCGCTGTACCTGCAGCCTCTCTCAACACGTCCACCTCCACCACCACCATCACCGCCACCACCGTCGACGTACAGTGTATCCGGTCACACCACCTCCCACCGCCCTCGCCGCATAGTCGCCCGCGATGCCCCATGCCACCAGCCTGCCCCCGCCCGGCTTCCAGGCCCTCATCCTGTGCGGCCCCGGCGCCTCGTTCAGCACCTTCACATCGTCGCCCAAGGACATCCCAAAGGCCCTGCTGCCCATTGCAAACCGCCCCATGGTCTGGTATCCGCTCGAATGGTGCTACCGCATGGGCGTGACGGGTATGCTGCGCGGCACACGTCGTCGATGCAGCACCTCGCTGACGCCCTGCAGACATCACCGTCGTTACCCCGCCAGAATCTCTCGACGCAATTGAGGCCGCCATGTCGCAGAATCCACACCTCACCACCCTGCCCTCGCCCAAGCCAGACATCCTCGCGCCAAAGGGCCTCTCACACCAGACGAGTACCGGCGACCTCTTTCGCCTGCCCGAACTGCAGAGCGCAATCAAGGGCGACTTCATCGTGCTTCCCTGCGATCTGGTGTGCGAGCTGGACGGCACAGCGCTGGCGGATGCGTGGATGGTCGAGCAGGGCGGGTTTGCAGGCGCAAGCGGCGGACTGGACCACAATGGCGGCAAAATCGCATACGGCGCCGGGGGAGAGAAGCTGGGGCGGAGAGGCGGCATGGGCGTGTGGTACGAGACCAAAGGCGAGGGCAGCAGAAAAAAGGAAGAGACGGACTTTATCGCCACAACGCCCTTGGCCAAGCCCACCGTGCCCGTTCCCACAGACTCGCTGCGGCGCAACATGTCCAAACTCGTCTACTCTGTTCCTACCGACACACTCAACGACATCACCGAGGAAAACAAGACATTTCCGCTCCGACATTCGCTCATCCGCAAGCATGCGCGCATACGGATGCTGACGACACACCGCGACGCGCACATTTACGTGTTTCCCTACTGGGTCATGGAGATGATTCGCAAGAATGAAAAGTTTGAGAGTCTAAGCGAGGAAGTAGTGGGGTGGTGGGCAAAGGCGAGCTGGCAAGACGGACTGGGCGAAAAGCTGGGCCTGAGGCAGATATTGCAGGGCGAAGAGGACGGGTCGGATCACGAATCTCAGGTGGTCGAGGAAGAGATTGACGTGTCCAAGTTTAGCACCACATACTCGGGCAGCATCAAGGACCAGGAAACTTTGCCCACGGAGCTAGCATCAAGAGTCACCAATTCCTCCAGTATACCAGATTCTGCAAAGTCACTCGCAACCTCCAAGCTTACCGTCCCGCCTCTTCTCGCATACGTCCAGCCTTCGGGCCCCAACGAGCCTCTTATTCGCCGAGTGGACGATTCTCACCTCCTTTTGACCATTTCGCTGCGCCTCGCTAAACTGCCCTCGATTGAAGAGGTCGGCAAGGAAGCCGCTTCGCCATTTGCCCACCAGTCCAAGATTGCCCACAAGGAATCCATACCACGAAAGTGCCGCGTCGAGGCTGAGAACTCGCTGCTCGCAGACAATGTCATTGTCGAGGAAAAGACCAACATCAAAGAGAGCGTCATCGGCTCCAACTGCAAGATTGGCGAGGGCGCAAGGCTGCTGAGATGTCTGTTGATGGATGGCGTCGAGGTCGGACCAAACGTCCAGCTTACCGATTGCATACTCGGTAGGCGGTGTAAGATGGAGGGTGGTGATGCCAAAGACGGCGATAGGACTGCGCTCAAAGACTGCGAGGTCCAGGACGGCCAGGTGGTGGAATGGGGAAGTAAGTCACCTACGCTTTTTATGCACTTGAATGGTCAGATACGAATGCTAACAACTCTGTAGCTGAGGCCAAGAACGAAAAGTTTATGCGCTTCGACGTGGGTGATGATGTAGGCAGTGACGGCTTTGGCGGCGATGATATGGAGGGTGACATGGGCGACGAGGAGGGGCTCTGATTGCAGAAGACGGTGCCTTCTGTGAGAGAAAATGGGCCAGGTATTTATGAGACATATCCAAGCATTCACAATCCTACGCATTGACGCCATTTGGAGCGTCTGCGTGCGGAGAGTACCAGGTCTTTTCAACAAATATTACTGAATTGAACTACGGCCTAAGCCAGTGGTCGTTCACTGATACTCGCATTTGCTCCCTTTCACTCGGGTCTGTGCGCGCATGGTCATTGTGAGTGCTGCTCTCACCTTGTAGGCACCGCTGGAGAGTCGTCACTTCCTTTCCTTCTCTACCATCTGCCTCGAGCACAACCCAACCCGCACCATGAGGCTCAGCACCGCCATCGTTAGCGCCGCCTCCATCTTCTCGGTCGCCGCTCGAGTCATCGACTGGCCCATCAGTAATGAATCCGAGCTGCAACCCACAATAGCCTTCTGGGACGACGACTACGCCGCCTCTGGCGAATGGACTACCTACACTGCCAAAGGCGGCGCCCTCATGTGTGCCCTCCAAGGCAGCGACCAAACTGCCGGCCTCCAACTAAAAGACACACGCTCCCCGCCCTCGGCCGCCAGCCACTTCAACACCGACCTCAAGACCGAACTGCACACATGGTACTGGCGCAGCGTGGACCCCGCATCCTTCAGCTGCAGTTTCTCCGACCACTGGGGCTTCTCCAAGGCCATGCAGGCGCTGGGCCTCAGCGGGAAGCCGGCGTCGCAAGGCGGGGACAACAAGTGCTATCGTATTGAACACTGGGATCCTGAAAAAAGAGACGACAATGGGAACCAGATTCCGGCTTTGAACCAGTGGTATAATGTCGCTGGCATTGAGCAGCAGTTTCGCGTAAGAATCTCTCTTATTATCATCATCGTTTTTTTTCACCTTTCCTGCGTGGTACACGATACAGTGTTCTAACAAGTCGATGCAATAAAGGCGACAAAAGCCCATTACGAATTCGCCGTCAACACGGCCGGCGGCGCAATCTACGGCCTTTTTCTCCTCAGCCCCCAGGCCTCTGCCAAATCCCTCTGGCACGCCGACAAAAAAGATGCAGACAAAAATGCCCTGCCCCAGCTGCGCCTCTTTTCAGATATCCTGTGGGGCTTCTGGGTGCGCGACAACCCAAATGTAAAGAATATTCGCTATTTCCTGATGATTGGCATTTCAAACGACGTCACGAATCGCCTGATTGCTTCGTGTCTGCGTGATGTGGGCAGCGAGTTGAGCGCCTGGCCGGGAACACAGTTCACCATGGATACAGAACAGGGACATGCGCTGTTGGGTGAGTTTAGCATTTGCCTCTACACACCAATATCTGGGTGGTGACGAAACAAGTATCTAACACTACTACACAGGATCTCCCAACGGAGCGGCCTTTGCGTATTTCCTCATCCAGCACAAGGCGCAGCTGGGCCAGAAGACAATTACAAAGGTGACTGTGTTTAGGCCTGAAAACGATGACGATATTGCCTTTGTGGATGCCTCGTTGTGCTTTCACGTGGAAGATGGGGTGCTGGCGGGGGACGATGGTGCTGGTGGCGACGGCGACGGCGACGGTAGAGATGGAGGCGACGCTCCTGCAATCGAGGTCAAGAATGACTATCTCATCCGCGAGACCATGGTCCAGCCGGATAAAGGGAATAGCATCACGAGGGTGCACGAAGTGTATTTGTGAATCAGTCCTAGACAAAACTCTTAGTACAAGGTATGCCGAGTACTTGTACTTGTATCATTATGTATATCTCCTCTTCATCACCTCCTAGAATCTCAACTTCATTTCATTTCATGGCATTTTGCGTATCTAGATAGCATAGCAAGTGATAGGTATCTCGACTCGTACTCTATACAACTTACCTTTCCCGAGAACATATTTTTCTTTGCTTTTCTTTTCCACGACCAGACCTCGTGACTTGGTGCAACTTTCCTATCCCTCTTTTTCTTCCTCTTCCTCTTCTTCTTTTTCTTCGCTGTGTCTTTGCATACTTATTCTGCTTTGTGCAGCCTGGCCATGACACATGGGTCGGGGCGATACACAGTATCCTGCGACTAATGGGTACATATCTGGCTGGGCCCAAATACTGGGGAAGCGTTGTTTTGCACAAAGGTTTAAAAAAAAAGTTGATGGTGTGTTTGAGATGGCTTTGGTGGGGATCGCTTCGATGTTTAGACTAAGGAAGTTAGATAGTGGAGCTACGGGGAGCAGGCTAGTTCCGCGGGAATTTTTCTTTCTTAATGCTATTTTGGGTGAGTGGGATGAGGAGAGAAAGAGGTGTGTTTGTGGTTTCTTCATGTGTTCTCGTCGTTTGTAATGATTTTTTATTGTGAAATCAGAGGAGATGTTGGTGTGGATTCCACGCCTGAGCAAAGACAACATACGCTATGCTGCCCACGATTTCTCGGCAAACCACCTGCCATGACACTAAAACCATGGCAAGAATCTATATCCAGATATCCCGGTTTGGCGTCATTTTTGTTTCCGCGGAGTAGTGCGACTGTTTTCGAGAACGGCGTTTCTCAACCAACCACTTGTCTCAGAACAGGCGTCTTCTCGATTGACGTCACAGACTGCGTCTCAGAACGCGGTACGAGAACAACAGCGGAAAAGGTGTCTTCGCTCAGCCCCTCCCCCCTTGTTTCGCCAAAAACACATTCTTAGGCTGTAAATCGTAAATATCGCGTAGTGTCTGATTGGGGCGTTGTGAGATCCTCCAGTGTTTGATATGATCGAGTGGTGGCCGCATCAGCTGAGTGTGAGTCTACAATATCTAGGGATAGATTTCTCCCGATGCTCCTGTTTGATGTTGCGAGCCACGGCAACATATGGAGGAGAAGGCTTCACGGCTCCGACTTGGAAGGGATTGAGGCTTGCGTTTATCTAAACTAGCCTCATATCCCCCCTTGGATGTCTTTTCTGGAGACAGAGGAGTGGGTTGAGGTAATTGATTGCTGCTTCAAGTAACGCTAGTTGTTGGTGTAGTTTCTGCACCAATACTTACGACAGCAGTACGTCTTCAGACCGTCCCACGATGGCTTGACAGACCTATTATAGCTCCAACCATGACGGGGTGCTTAGCTGCCGTGTGGGGCGGGAGCGCCCGAAAGTCCGCGGGTGTAAGAGATGTGGAAAACATGTACAGGATGTCAGGAATGATACAGTAGAGTATCAGACCCCTGCCTTGTGCGTTGTGCACAGCAAAGAAGACGTGGCGATGAAATATAGTTGGACCCACTTATGGCCTTGCAGGGTTCACCATGCTCTTATCGATAAGTAACATACCTACAACCCGCACCTGTATACGAGTATCACAAGCTGTCTCATCAAGAGCGCACAGTTTGCGCGATAAAGTCTCCGTGAACCAACATCTCTCGCGGCGAACATGTCATCAGAATATACGTCACCGGTCTGTACGCCCCGCCAAGTGTCATCAGCGGCACGGTCTCTGCACGCTCGATCCTTCCAATGCATCTCTTCATCAAACAGCCTCTTCGCAAATGCCCTGGGTTCCAACCTTCTTGCCATCTCGGCCGACCACTCGAAACATGTCTTCCGAGGTTGCGCCTTCACGCACGCCAATCTACTACTGAGTGTCAGGAAGCTCAAGTGTGTTTGTTCAGTAACAGCATTAGGCCACTGGTCGACATGAGAACTGCCACGAGTGACGACAGCAGCAAAGCCGGCAAGATAGGAGGCTCACCATATACTGGCAAAGTGGTGCCTTTCTACGCCATGAATTTCAGACCACAGCAAGTGAGGCTGTACCGTGTCAAGGCAGGTCTGATCTACTCCTTGCATCTACATAAATATATGTACGAGTACAACGGCAATGGGGATGATATTCACAGCATGCTCGTATTGTGAAACAAAGTTTGCGTCTGGCCGCGTAAGGGGGGAGTGGCAAAACAAGCCCTTTTGCATCGGCCTCGGGAATCTACATATCCAGTGTCCACAGCCATGATCTAGGCACAGGAGCATGCAAACTCGAGCTACAAGTTCGAGACCTTTTTGTCACACTGAATAGCTGGCTATAGCATCTACTGCACCAGCTCTGAGCCGAATCAACCCCGTCACACCATGGGCGAAGCGGGTTAGTCGATGCGCCGAACCCTAATTTGTGGGGACCTGTGAGGGTGAGAAGCGTGGTAAGCAGGGATAAGCTGACAGTGCTAGTTTAACAGTCCAATATCACTCCGCAATCTGCTTCGAGCAACCAGTCATGTAAAATGTTTTTGTGTTCCGCTGTCGATGCCTCCTTTCCCGTCATCAGCATCGATCAAAGTCCAAGGCAACATGGCGCACTTGATGGATGGGATACATCCTACATATCCCCCAAACACTGAGAAGGACAGAACAAATCTCATGATGGGCATCTCCGCAGCCATGACATGTGTTGGAGGTTCGTAAAAAAGCCCAAAGAATGTACTCGAGCAAGTACTTACCAAAGTCAGTATCATGTGTAGCTCTCCGCGTGTATATGCGTGTCTTTATTGTTCGGAAAATGGGTCCAGAAGACTGGACCATGGTTCTAGCAACAGTAAAACTCTCAGACAGATCGATCAGAATTCAGTTAACATGACTCAGTTTCTAACAGTCATGTATCTACTCGAAGTGATTGGCGGCGTCAAGGAGTTGAACCTGGGCTTTGGCGTCATGTCCATGTCCTCGCAACAGACGACGAGCAATACAAAAGTATGCTTCCCAACAGACACGCAGAGGCAAGACTAATATCGCCAGCTCATTCTTGCCATGGTTGTAGAATACAACTTGATTGTAACTCTGATCAAGGCTTCGGTTCTCATGGTCTACCTCAGACTAGGTTTGTGCAAGTCACTGCGTCCTGTCCAAGCTAACAGACCATAGCTTACAGCAAAAAGTTTGAGCGTCTGTGCAAAAACACCATAGCTCTTCTTGCTGTATACCAAGTCGTCTTCTTGATTGTAATCGCAGTGCAGTGCATACCGCTGTATAAGCTGTGGGATTTCTCTGGCAAAGTCACGGGTCAATGCATCAACATGAATGTCTTTTATCATGGTACGGCACATTCAGCCTTTCTACCTATTATGAACAAAAGCTAATACCCTCCAGCGACCTCGATTTTCCACATACTCATGGATGTCTGGATTCTACTCCTGCCAATCCGACTCATCACGCTCATCCCACGGAGACCCCGCGAGAAGTTTGCGCTATACGTTAATGTTGGGCTTGGAGTTATCAGCATGGCCGCTTCTATCATCAGACTGGTATTCCTACACATTTTTACCCTCTCTAACGACCCCTTCTACGACTCTGTGCCTGTGATTACATGGTCCATGGTCGAAGTCAACGTGGGCGTCTTGTGCGCCACTATACCCATAATGAAGCCTTTGTTGTACAGAGCACGAAATTATCAGTCAAGAAGCGTGCTTGGCATGCCGGCCGTGAATACGGACGAGAACACGATAAACGGGACGAGCAGAACGAGCCCAGAGATCAAAGAAGCAAAGGCACAGGGGAGAGAGTCTGTGTCGAGTAATATGCCGCCGCCAGTACCCCCGAAGGACCATCAGTATGTTTATCCGCCTACTGCTCCGCCTCAACACCAAGAACTATCGCGCGCTGAAGACGCCGAGATATAAGACATTCACATATTCAAAATGCAATCTCTCTGCGCAAGTTTGAATAAAGCTTCATAATCGGCATGGTATGGAGGGAGAAGGCCACACACGTTCCAAACAACCTTGGGACCTAATCAATCATGGCTGACCATCAACCCACCAACTCCACGGACCAGACCATGCTAGCTTGGTCTTGCCCCAGAGTCCTACAACACCTGGAACCGAGTATGGCAACAATATTGAAAGCCCAGCCAACAGCGCACTGCCGACTTGAACACGCGCGCGTCCAAAGGACCCGCGTACGTCCCTCGGAACAACAATCAACCTGCCACCTCGAAAGCCCGTTTTAATTCATGCATCCAGCCAGCCACAAGCCTATAAGACTCAAGCTTTCCAACGCGCCTTGTCATTCTGGTACAAGGCACTCCGGCGGCATCGCGGCATGGACCAGCGACCCCAGAGGACCCGAGTACACGCTCAAACGACGCTCTACCGAATCCGTCTGTCCAGGCCACCCTTCTCCCTCAGCCTTCATTGGCCAGTCATCTCAATCGGGCAATTCTTAGCGCCACGATGCTTCACGTCTCCATTGTTTTTTGTTTTGGACATACTAGCGGTCAGAGGCGATTGGATGCATGGTCGGTATGTCCGCGCGGCATGCATCATCATGGTAGGCTGTGTATGCTTTTTTGCAGCATTCTATGCAAACAACGTCGCTATTGCTGTTGCCTGGGCGATGTTTTGGCACATCCTCTTAATACTTATTGTACCCACGCGCGGGTAGTTCTCTTGTGTTCTCTCGGAGCCAACCTTTCATCGGCTTGCATTCCGATTTACTGTACTCTAGTCTGCTGAGTCAATAGGCTTTTGAATCGACACTTTCAGTAATACCCTATCACACTGCACAAGATGCATCTCAGTCTAGGCAGTTTTGCAGCCAACGAACGCCCCCTTCGAGTCCTGACTCTGTATACCTCCGCCCTCGCGACCCCGCTGCTCATCGCGTGCACAGTCATCTCGATCAAAGTCAGCCGCCGTCCTGTAACAGCGTTTTGCTTTGGCTACATTCCGGTTGCCCTGACTGCTTTCGCTTCTACCATCAGCATCCTATGCCACAAGAAAAAGAATACTCGCATGCCAGCCAGTGGATGCGTCTTCCTGGACGGATTCGCTTTCGTTGCCTACCTGGGCATTCTGATTGCCATCTGGGCCGTTGGGATTGGCGAGATAAGGCATCCCGGGTTAGGGCTACTAGCTGGCTACACGACAGCGCCCATGATCGTCAACATGTAAGCAGCTGGCATTGGTCCCGCGGGCCAGATTCAAGGACGCATATTATTGAATTAGTTTGTCTAACGGATCATCATAGGTTCGTACACGCATACATGGTCGCCTGCAACATACCCGCCTTCATCGCGCAGCTCACCGTACCAAAAGTCCACCAGTGTCCCAACTGCCGCAGTAGCTTCACCGAGCGCAACCCACCCCGGCTTCAGGAAACGAGCCAGAGTGCGGAGAGATACAGCCTTTTGCGCGGAGAAGACTACCTCGATGTCGATGCCGACGCCGTCGACTATCCCGGTGGTAGTGCGCGCAGCTCAGAGGACCAGGTACGACCAGAGACTGAAAGCAAAAGCGACGATAAGAAGATTTTGGTCGTGTGAGAAGGTATCTTGTATGCAATGTTAGCATTGGATCATGGAAAGCAAAGTTACGAGTCCCCCCCCCCTCTTCTACAAAGAAGCAGAAGGCGGAGAAGCCCAAATCTATACACATGGATAAGAAAAAAGTAGTGTTATGTACAAAAAAAAAGAAGCCGCTACTTAGTGAATGCGGGGACCGAAATTTCACAAGCTGTGAGCATGTGTCCAGCACCGGTCTGGACTTTTTTGCCTGGGCATATACACATATATACAAACCGTACTGCCGACAGTCGATGGGGCAGTGCTTCTTCTTCTTTTTCTTTATGTTTCTTTCTTACGTACTTTTACCGCTGTTCTTGATGTTTGTCGGGAATGTCTCGCCCTGGTCCCACTGGGATTGATAGTCAGTCTCACATATACTTTTTTTTCCCCCAAACAACAAGAAACGCTGTACATCAATGAATGAAAGATCAAACTTACGTGCTCGGCAATGCAGCCATCCTCCCATCGGTATCGGTCGACGACCTCGCCAAAATCGCTCTTGTAGTTGAGCCAGGACTGCGGACTCTGGAACGCGGTCTTGAGCGGCGTGATTTTCTGCTGGTTCCCAATAGGCGCAAGCACGTCCCATGCATTATCGAATCCGTTCTTAACCGAGGGGTTGTGGTTCTGTGGTTTTGCGCAGTCCATGGTTAGCAATGCTCGCGTCTTGATATGTATGCAGGCGGCCAACTCACAATGTAGCCGGAATTGATGTAGGTAAAGGCCTCGGTGATGTTGGGGTGGTAAATAAAGGCTTGGGCAAATGCCTGGGCACGTTGCTTGGTCTGCTCGACGGTCGTCTTGGGGTTGGGCACGCATGGTGCAGGCTTGGGAGGTGTAGACTGGCGCTCCACGAGCATGTTCGACCCGGCTTGCGCTTCCATAGGGGCAGCCAGCACGGCGAGAGGCGCAAGCAGCGCAGACGCAATGATCGTAAAGCGCATGGTGAATGGGAGTTGAATAGTCGTGAGAAGTTGTAGTTGCAAATGGTCCGGATAGAATCTAAGTATGTGTCGATTCAAAAACCAGCGGTAAACAGATAAGTAGGAAAGCAAAACCATTATATACCTCCGCAGATACTCTCATTCTTATCTCCATGGCCGTACGCGACATTTAGCAATGCCGTTGACGCGCCCCTTGGCATCACTATGCGGCGCAATTATCTAGATTGCTCGCGCGTACCTGGAGGGCCCCACCGGCTTTATTCCGGTCACACAGGCGCTTCTACTCGGGCGCGTTTATTCGCCAAAAGTCGCCCGGCTATTCGTTCGCATATGCCGGGGTAGATACACCAGAAACATGCAATATAGTAGCCTGGGGCAATGCGTAAGAGCTGAGACGGCTGAGATGCATTCACCGACTAGTGGGCGGGACAAAAGCATAAGCGTCTATCAGGGCGGATAGGGCTGCGGAATGAAGTTTGTTTCATAGTGGGGAGCCAATCAGCTATCTGCCGGTCCGAGAGTGAAACGATTAGGACATATGCTTTCCGGACCTGTGTGTGTCTCAGGCCAAACTGACGTATTACCGAGGTACGTCACATGGTCAGACGTCTGGCCTGGAGTTGGAAATCCGCCGCTGTTCAAATAGGAGAGCTAGGTGCTATTCTTTTCCCGGTGGTTTCAGAAGCGTAAGCCGTTGAGAATCTTACATCACGTCGCTTTACAGCCTCATGCTTCAGGCATGGCCAACGCTGTTTATATATTGTGGTTAAATGATTGCCGGGTACCTCAGTACCATGGCCGTGGAATTGAGTTTCCCAGGGCAAAGCTTTCCCTGCATATCGGTACCCGTTGTACGTACCTGTCAAGCTCACTCTAGCGTGTATATCAGCCATGTCAGCATTTAGGTTCTGCGCGCACGGCACGAGTACCGCGTCTACGCCGATACACCGAATACGCGTCGATCATGTGATGTTGAACAAACACCGTGTACGAAGAGTGTTTTGTGGGGTTGCTGATGCAAGCTGCTGTGTTGGACTTTTATTCGTAAGACAGTCCAAGTCTCTACACAGTCACAGTTTGCCATCTATCACGGTGCGAGAATCCAAAGCAGGACGCAGATGGGAATTTACTCCTGACCCAAATTTGATTCATCCAGTCTGATCTGGATTATCAAGCAGTGTCACATAACGGAGCACAAAAAGTGAGACGAGCCTTGGAAGAAGAATAAACTGTATGGGAATTCATATGTCTGCAAATATACATGGCAGTTGTCAAGAACCACTCCACCCCATATCTTCTACCCGCCCTCCACCGTTTTGTCCCTGTGACCAAGCATCACGATCCGAGAAACTTACCTAGTCCTCTCCAGAACCTCCGTGCGTTGATTCAGCATAGCACGCAGCACTATGTAGCCACTGAGCCCATATACATCTATCAAAGGGTCCCCGTATATTAAGACACAAACGTCGATTCGTGGATAACCAGAGTGAAAGGGTAAATGCAAATACATGTTTCCATTGCATTTTGTATTTACACACATACATACATGCATCTATGCACGAAAATTAAAGACGTGTATACCCTCCCTCTCCTCCATGAAACCGCATTAAACGTATACTCATGTATAGAGAAAGTGAGAGAAAAACACCATCAAGGAATTAGGAGGAGAAAGAAGAAACCTCATGAATTAAACCCCTCGCATTCGTTGCCATGTTCCCGTTCATCGTGCAGAAAAAGAGGGAACACAGGCACACACCTCAAAAGAGAGAGAGAGAGAGAGAGAAAGACTTCATACATAAACACACACATATATACCTCATCTTCGCAGACCTCAAAATCGAAAAAAAAGTCCTCCCGATAGAAACGCAAACGCACACGCAGAAAAACGACAATGGTATCCCCATTCCCTTAACGAGAAAAAACAAAACAAAAAAAAACAATAACAACGAGAAAATTCGCCTCCGCCCGAGATCCGGCATGTATATAACGTCGTGTGCGAATCACAGAAAAAACAGAAGAAAACGCCTTCGCTTGCTACCCGTTGGAATCGTGAGAAGAGGAAAAAGGAAATGCACAAAAAAAAATGCAAAGATACAGGGTCAGATGAATAGAGTACATGGAGAAGAGAGAGAGACAGAGAGCTGTGATGAGAGCGGGTTCGAGATTATAGTATTAGAGTCTTGTATGTTTTTCGTTGTTGTTGATGATGGTGTTGTTCTTTTTTCATGTTGCTTCATGATTGCTGCTGCTGCGGGGGATATCGTCATCGTTTTTGCTGCCGTGAAATGGGCGTTACGGCGTCATCTTCTCTCTCTGCCCTCTCGCTCTCTCATACACACACTTCCCTGCACTGCCATTCGTATTCCTAATATCTCAGCTTGCCCAAAAGGCTGAAGCAGTATGCGCACTCCCTCTCGCTCTTCATCTGTATCATGAAGACTCTTGCTCTTGCGCCCAAGACACCACCCGTCTTGCTTACGCCGCCAATTTGACCGGCTTCATCAACATTGTCTTCCCATACGCTGACGGCTATACCGCTGCGGGCTACACGCTCAAAGCATGTTTCTGACAGTTGGACGTCAAGAAGGACCTCGCCGTGCTTCTTCCCGGTAAGCAAGATGCGTCGTTCTTGTCTGTAATCTCTTGTGCCGGGAGCGCGTTGCAGTGCGTTTGTGGGTGACGGCGGCATGCTTGGGTCGGGCGAGGGCAGCATGATTGTTAGCCTTGCGCTGCCCATATCGCGCCATTTCTTAAGTGACTCTCGCTCGTAAAGCCTGCACTTTGTGTTTGTGATGCCGGGTGGTGCGCCAGGTGCTCGTGCGACATCACCGTTGGGAGTCGAGGCGCCTGAGCCTGGTCGAGAGTTTGAGGGGCTGTCAAGGGACGACCCAGTGCTGCGTGATCCGAGAGTTGAGTTGCGAATACTAAACATGCCGTTCTTGCCAAACGAGAAACGACTAAGTGCCGAACGAAGGGCACTGTTCATGGTCCCGACAGACGATTCCGTGGCGGCCGAAATGGAAGCTGCGCGTGTGCTTGATTTCCGGTAGCTGCTTCTCCTACCCAGCGTGCCACCGATCCATCCAGAAGAGGCATCGGTGCTTGCTCTGGCTGCGTTCTGGCGATCCATAGCCTCGGCCCAGCTTGATTGTCCATAGGGGCCGCGCGCGTTTTGTAGTGCAATGTAGGTGGGGTTGTTGATGCGCGCCTGGTTGATCATAGAGTACAACTGCGTGCATTCGGCTGCATTGCGACTCCGCAACATGATGTTGTTGCCAGGTTTGAGGAGCGACTCGGCAGTAGGTGGCGAGCGAATGGAGATATCAATGGCCGTTGACTTGCGCAACGGCACCAGAGGGGTAAGCTCAACCGCAACAAGGGGAGCACTTCCCTCGGGAGTGATGATCTCGTCGCCGTCGGCGAGGAAAGGTTTGGAGTGGTTTTCTGAGATCTCAAAGACCTCAATCTTTCCTGGCGTGACGACAATGCTACATTCGTCGGGGTGCAGGCTGTCCCATTTCCCAGACTCGGACCAGGCGAAAAGGGATGCTATCGTCCTGGAGACCTTTCCAGAGCTTTGAGGAACAGCTCGGTAGGGTGAGTTTGACGCCGATTGGGAAGGAGTAATGGTGCCATTGGGAAGAGTGTAGATGGACGCTGGGGGCGAGGGCTTGGTGAACTTCTTGGGCTCCTCTTCAGTCTTTTCAGCTGTGGTCGGGCGACTGGCCTCTCGTCCTGTAGTGTGCGAGCGCCCGGTATATCCACGTGGTCCGAGATATCCCAGTGGCATCAGTGGCATGGGTACGTCGTCATCTAGCTCACCTTCTGATGACTCGGATGTCAGGATCTCCTCTTCTTCTTCGCCTGCTTCTTCTCCCTCTTCGGACTCCGAGTCTTCTTCGCTCTCGGTTGACTCTTCCGTGCAGGTCGATGGTTCGTATTCGTGCTTCAAGGGCGAAGACGAACGACGCTTAGTCTTGAATCCGGGCAGTGTTGGCAAGAGTACTGGCGTGTTGGAACCCTTTAGCGTTTCAGGGCTCGCTGGACTGGGCGACCGATGTGGTGGCGTAGGCGGCGGCGGCTGCTGCTGATCAGTCTGGACCTCGGGCTCTACAGGATCGTCGACGATGATGCTGTGTTTCTTCCCATGCATCTTGGGAGGTGCCGAGGATATTTCGCGCACACTTTCCTCTTGTACCGTGTCTTGTGAGGGTGTCGAAGGTCGGCTCGACTTCCTTTGCCTGGGAATGTTGGGCAACTCTAGGGAAGGAACGGATGAAACTCGCCTATGCGTATTGGGACGTTGGGGTGAAGGCGGAGAGCCAGGGGGAGACAGCTCTGAGTCTGCAATGGTGCGCTTGTCTGATTCAGACGAGTCCGAGTCCGAGTCGTCAATCTCAGAAGTTGGCATCCAGACACTGAAGCCCTTGCTTGACGACACAGCTGAGGGCGCAGATGGAAGCGACTGGGGCCGTCGCTTGGTTGATTTTCTGCGAGGTTTGGTGAGTTCCTCAGCTGGCTTGGCATCTTCAGCTTCATTGGGATCGTCCAGAGTGATTTGGCGGGATGGACGACCAGAGTGCGGGGATGCGGGGTTTTTGGAAAGCCTCTTTGCTCTTGTTCGTTTGAGGCTTGACGGAGAACCAGTATTGGCCATGCGGACTGCTTCATCGAGGCCACGGGGTGTTCGGTCACCATCGCTGTGGAGCGGGCCGGGCTGGAACATCTGCTCGATCGGGGTACGCGGCTCTGCCTGCGAGACGTCTTTGGCGTCATATGGGTTGCTCGTAATCGAGCCATGACCGCTCGGCGGTGTAATGGGCGACACTGTCCGGGATTTATTCCGCTTTTGTGGCGTGTCGTAGTGCCATACCTTTGATACTTCGGTATGTTGTTCGCCAATGGGAATATCAATCTCATGCGGGCTGGGAGTCCGGCTCTTTTCTTGCTGCGTGGAGCCTGTTGCGTCCGAGTGAAGGGAAGAAGAGTCATGTTCGCTTGAGGTGCGCTGCGTTTGGCTGGTCGCGGCCTGAATCTTCCTGACTTCGGATATCTGCGGGGGAATGGGGTGAAGACCGAGCATTTGTACCCATTCGAAACCAGTTTGTTCATCTTCAGATATCAGAGACATGACTTCGCTCCATTCGGATCCATCGGCCTGCTTTCCTCGGATCATGACGATAATTTCGCCCTTGACATCGCCATTTCGGGCCGAGGCGTTGCTGAGGTGGACTGGCGGCAGAAGTAGCCATCGCGCGGTAGAATCCACTTCACAGATGAGGACGTCGCCTCCAGCTCCCTGGCCTGGAGCATTGTCGCGGAGAAGAATCTCGACGCGACAGCTGATTTCTTGACCAGTCGAATGATACAAGTGCAAGTCGAAGTGGTCTCTGGCTCGCACACATCGTGTCGGATCAACTCGGACGCCCGCAAGAGGGGCGAGGCTTCGAGGATCACGGGCACGGGTGGGATCGATGTTGGCCGCTGCTTCATCTTCGAGGCGGGCTTGTTCGTCGTTGGACCGCTTTCGGGCAGCGACGACCAAGTCTTGGAAGATACTTGAGACCTTCTCTACGCGGTCAGATGGCTTGACGTGGTTGATACCCTGAATGAGAAGTTAGTATTGAGTAAGTTGTGCATAGGGAGGGCTCAACAGACCTTCAAAGTCTTTGAAAGATACTTGAGGCGCACCAAGGGGCGCTTAAGCATGTAGGCAACGTCAACACGCTCACCGTCGCTGTTGACAACGTAGCCCTCTGCATTCCGAGGCATGCCCTCATCCCATGGCGCGCCATCCTCTGGTCCATTCACCACCTTGGCAGGCTTGAAGGGATCTTCATCCGCTGGTGCGAGGCTGATTACCACGTCTTGGAAGCCAAGACGCCAGACGGAGATGTAGTCGGAGTAGACACGCTGCGCGCTTTGTGCCCATGAGATGAGCTCGTCAGAGTCTTCCTTGGGGACGCGCTTGTGCAGGTTCTTGAGCTGCTCCAGGCAGACGCCCATGTCGACAATGGGCTTTGTAATTTCACTTGGGTCTGCCGACTTTGGGGAGCGAGAGAATAGCCCGGCAGCAATGGCGGACTCGGATTTGGAGAGGACGCAGCTAAGAAGAACAGGAATGACACCATCGACAAGGGTGCGAAGCTCGCGCATATATTTTGCCTCGTCGGAGGCGAGCTCCTTCATAATGTCTTCAATAGTGGCAGTGGCCAGGCGGCTTCTGTTGGTACGGATGCTGCGAGCTGAAACGATGCTCTTGGAGCCTGCTGTTTTGGGCATGGAGAGCACCGACATGAGGTCCTCATGTCTGGCAAGCTTCCTCCGGCGGGTGCTCTGGCGGCTAATGATGGTCGACGTTTCGGGGTTAAAGAACGAGCCGACTTCTGATGCAGGTGCTGGTGGATGGGTTCTGGTTTCCTCGGACGCAGCAGTCATTGCATCTGAGCGCGTCGATTGAGAGGCAATGGTGGAAAGGCGCTTGCTGCTGGAAGGGAACTTGCGCGGGCCTAAGATGTGGCGTGGACGCAATGGCTGTGGCATGAGATCGGGCAGCGAAGCATCGACAGACGAAGGAGCAATTGAGACTGCGTCCTGGTCTGGATCATCTTCCTTGGGCATGTCGTCAATAGACGTGGCTTCGCGAAGGGGAGACGACATCGATCGACCCTTGGTAGGAGAGTATTGGCTGCGTCTTCTTGCTCCGCGGCGCTTCAGACTTGGTGTTGTGCTGACAGACACTTCGCTCTCTTTGTCCTGTACATGCGACTCGGTCATGGTTTCGGAAGTGACGGTGGACTGGGCGTCATCGAGATTTTGAGTGTCGATGGTCATTTCGCGGCTGGCATGTCTACTACGTCGTTGCTTGCTGCCACTGCCACTACCACTGCTACGGCGGCGGTGCTTGTCGTAAGGCTCGTCCTTTGACTTTTCAGTCGAGACACTAATCTCTGACTTTGCGATTTGAGCAGGCAGATGGAGTGAGGATACAGAGTCCCTGGATATCCTCCGCAGTGCCTCTTTGGACGCCCTTCTCGGCCGGGACTCCTTGGCGGGCTCATCTTGTGTTGTGCGCGTGGGCGTGGTAACCTCTGATCTGTCGGCTGTGGCAGGCAAGTCTGTGGAAGAAGCGGAGTCCCTGGACCTCCTCCTGCGTCGCGAGCGTGTCTTCTTGACAGGTATTTCCTCAGTCACCTCGGTCGACAGAGTCAGCTCCGAGGTTCCAAGGTTCGAGGGCAGTTCTGTGCTGGAAGTGGAATCCTTGGATCTCCTACGCCTGCTGCGGGATTTTGTTTCTCCAAAGGTGTCGGGTGTGCTGCTGAGCCAGGCTTCTAAGCGGCTTCCCAAGGGCTTGGTGCGAGGCGTCTCCGAGGCTGATGGTATGGTCAATGGCGTGGCAGCTTCCTCTTCGGTGCGTGGGTACGACCTGCGACTCTTCCTCCGCAAGGGCTTCTGGGGACTTCTGAGGGCTTCATCCGCTGTGCGGTCGCCCTGGCTTCTCGGGCGACGCCGGCGCCGTCGCTCTCGCAGTTCCTCGTTTCGGGGCGATGTGATTTTACTCTCCACCAGGGATGTAACATCGCTTTCTTCGTACTCTACCGTGACGGCCATGTTCGGATCCTCGCTCAGCGCTGTTTCCGATCTCCGCGCTGGTTTCAATGGGTATCGGGCAAGGTCCTCTGCAGACAAGGAACCACGTGGTGAAGTGCGCGCACGCCGTCTGCTCGGGCGCATTTTTACCAGCTCCGTCTTTTCTTTTTCGGGCTTTGGAGATGTGGAGGCGGGGCCGCCATCGCTCTTTGCACCTTTGCCGCTGCCGGCGCCGCTGCTTGTTGGCCGTTGGTGATCGCTACCTGAGCTGGAGGGTTTCGAGGGTCTGCGTTGCTTTGGCGGAGGCCTCCTCTGGCCTGTGCTTCGTCCGATGTACTCGGCAAAAGGCAGCAGAGGATTGGATTGTATGGCTGGAGGGGCAATGGGTTTGAGTTCGGGACTAGCGGGCTTCTTGGGGATAATTCTCGAGGGGCGGACCCAGGCGTTGGGGATGGTCTTTGGCTGGGGTCGGCCGGCAGCCTCTTTGGGGGGAGCCTGCTTGCTGCGCCAATGCGAGTCGCTGATGACGCGCTTCTTGGGGGCTGTTGCGGTGAGGACGTCTTCGTCGAGCTCGTTGTGGGGGATGGGCATCTTCTTTGCGGTCGAGGGGCGCTCTGGGCTGGCGCCGACCGACTTGCCGCGCTCATGGTGGGGCTTCCAGTTGGGCTTGCGGTCAAGCGCCTTTGCCTTGGGCGTGGTCGAGGTGCGGACAGCGCTGGTGTCGGAAGCCGGGGCGGAGGCGGGAGCGGAGGCGGGGGCGGCAGTCTCTTTTGGAGCCGAGTCGATTGTACTGGTGGCGTCTTTGGCAGCGGGTTCTTTTGCAGCGGGTTCCTTTGCACTGGCGCTCTTTGTACTCGAGTCTCGCGCACTCGAGGCGTGGGCGTCGGGGTCGATGTCTTGCTGCCAGCGCTTTATCTTGTCGCGCACGTTTGCGGGCTTGTTGATGCCGATTGCCTTTGCAAAGTCCTTGCCGTCCATGGCCGCTTGTTTGTCCGTCGCGCCCATCTTCTTGCCTGACGTGCCATGTCTCTTCTGTCCAGCCGAGTCTTCAGGGTCACTGGGCCGGGGGGAAGCGGGCATCGAGTCCCGCAATCATTGGGGCAGCGGGCAGCGTCGCGGGGACGGATGGGTGTGTGGTGGGTGGTGTGTCGTGTGTGGTGTAGTGTGGTGCGGTGTTGAGTGGTGCGGTGTGGCTGGCGGGCAGCAGCGAATGTTTTGGTGTTTGGCGAGCGGGTGGCTGGCGGGTGTTTCCAGCGCTACTAGGTACCTAGTATGTATAGCAGGCGGAGTGTCGCCGCGATAGGCGGCGTCTCGCGGCGAGGGACACGATGGCACGACAGCAGCGAGAGTCGGGGTGGGTGAGTGAGTGAGTAGAGAGCGTGCGTGTATGGGTGGGTGAGTGGGTGAGTGAGTGCGTGCGTGTGTGAAAGGCGGTGCGAGTCGCGGGCGCCAGGCCAGGCCAGGCCAGGGCGGCGGCGGCGGGTGTGATGATGTTGGATGATCCAATTGCAGCCCGCAGCCAGCAGCAAGCAACAGGCGGCGGCGGGCGTGCGGGAAGAGCCCAAGCCGATCGAGGTGTTGCGGCGATCGGCGCCTCGTGCATTCCTGCCATGTGCATGTGCATGTGCATGTGCTGGCGGTGCCGGCTTGTGCAAGTGCTTATGCCGCGTTGTGCTGTGCTGTGCTGTGCTGTGCTGTGCTGTGCTGCGCCCATGCATGCCCGCCAGAGCTCCCTCTTACACACTCACTCACGCACACATACACAGCTACACCTACACCTACACCTCACCTCACCTCACCTCCACCTACACTTCCACATCCGCCCTGTCCGTCTGGCCTCCACCTCCGAAGCCACGCATCCTGGTCCCGCCTGTCAGCGACGTGTCGTCAGTGCCACACGTGCATGCATGCACCCAGTCCCACCGTCTTTGCTGACAACACGGCCCTGCCCGGCCTTATGCACACCGAGTCCACTATATACCACCTATCTCTTACCTATCTACTGTACACATCTACTTGTATGTACACACGAACCACGCATGCAACTGACTCTTCACACATGTACATACGCACAGCACCGTCGTTCGAGCCTGAGTCGTCCAATATACCCTATCCATGTATCTACTCCATGTACATCACCGTGCCTTCACGTTTGCCTCTGCGTTCGCCCGCCCGCGTCCCAACCGTTCGCCCCATCCGTGTCCACCGTCTTTTCTTGTTTGCCTTTTCTCGTTTATTTTTCGTGGCTTTTGGTTCCCCTCAATCCACCCAGCCGCTCGTACTCCAGGCTCGCCAGCACAAACGCCGCACTCCCCAGCACGCTGTTGTAGACCAGCGGCCGCGTGACATAGTACTAAACACATCATCAGCCTCTGCACAGTGTCGACCCGTCTCGTCTCGTCATGTACATACCTCGTAGTCTGCCGTCGAGTTCAAGCTGCACACGCCCACGGTGCCGTTCCATCCCAGCGTCCCGTTGCCGTTGTCCACGACAAATGTCTTGGCAATGTACTCGTAGGCTCTGTTCGCCGTTTTTTCATACACACCGGCACTGACTTGACACGCTGCGCTCAGCGCACCCAGCCGCAAGCCCTTGAGCAGCGAGTACACAAACATGCTGCTTGCGCTGCTCTCAATGTAATTGCCCTCGCGCCCCGGCTCGTCGAGAATCTGCCACCATGCCCCCGTCTTGTCATCTGCTGCCCGCGTCACCGCCGCCATGAGCTGTTGGAAGCGCGTCGTGACGTACGCCCTCGATTCCGACGCCGTCGCCGGAAGCAACTCCAGCATGTCGACGAGCGCCATGCAGTACCACCCCAAGCTGCGCCCCCACACGTGCGGGCTGGCCCCCGTCACCTTGTTCGCCCACACAGCCTTGCGACGCGCGTCGTACCCGTGGACCAGCAGCCCCGTCTCGTTGTGGAAGCAGTGCTGCCACAGGAGATCGAGCTGCAGCACAATCGCATCGAGCTCGCACGAAGAGCTGCTGAATGCCTCCGTGTACGCAGTCATAAAGGGCGCATAGCTGTACATGCCGTCGAGATAGCTCCAGTACGGATACACATAGTACCAGAGGCCCCCCTCTGCGTTCCTGCGCTGCAAATCCACGCTCTTGCGCAGCGCCTCAACGCCTGCCTTGTACTTTGCCGCTCCCGTCTTTTGCCATGCCTGCAGCAGCCCGTTCCCATTGCTGAGCCGGTCCAGCGGATAATGAGTGTCCTGCGTCGCGTTGGACAGCACCGCCACCGTCGAATCCAGGCTGCTTGTCGTGTATGCATCAATGGCTGTCCGGAGAGAGGGCTCAGCGTGCTGCATGCGAAGTGCGTGCAAGGCCTTTTGCACAAATCCGGCCTGGAGGAGCGCCGACACGTCTTTTTGGCTGCTCAAGATGCCTTGCTGCCGCGACATGATGGACTGGGCCATTTGCACCGAAAGCACAGTCGCTACTTCCAGCGGCGGCTGCTCCGCCATGCACCCGACAATGGCCACATAGGGCAACAGAAGCGTACGTAGCTGCATCGTGGCCAGCAACTATGTACACACGTCGAATCCAGCAAAAGTAGAAGTGGAAAAAAGAATCCCACACGATGCCATACAGCGGGTGGCTTGGACCCTATCTAAGTAATACCGGATCATCATCTGCTAGAAAGCAATCTTATCAAGGCGCGGGCTCATCCCGCCCCCTAATTCGGCCACCTGACATGGTCCGTGATTGATTCGGGCTAATACGCAGGCTTACTGTACTTACAAACCCAACAATATCATTCAGAGGACCGGGCGTGAGCTCCGCGACTCGGAGTTGGCGGGTCCCGTCCATCAAGCGCGCCGTGAGCGCGGCATGCACTATGTATGTAAGATGTAGGGTATCAAAATCGGTATACCATGGCTGCGTGTCCAGCAATAGAACTCTCAATCCAGAGACAAGCCAATCTCCGCCAACGACAAGGCCGTCTTGTACAACACTCGCTCGCATGTCTAATTGCGCTTCTTGCTCATCCTCTCCATCAGCCTAGCGGCATCGTTGACTGCCGCAAACGCGCTCCACGTAGCCATGACGCTCTGGTACATGAGGTAGCCCGGGATGATGATCCAAAAGGCATTCATGAAGACAAAGTAGAACCAGAAGTAGAACTGCTCCGGGCGCGAGTATGACAGGTCGAGTATGTAGTGGTCAAAGAGTGACGTGGTGTAGTAGAGGACGTCGCCGTACAATTGGCCGAGCGAGACCATGAGCTGAGCTGGGTAGCGGAGCGGGTGGTCGATGCAGATGAGGTAGGCCGTGAGAAAGGCCCCAGGGCCCCAGAATACCTGCGAGCGCAACAATCAGTCATTGCCGTTGCACAAGCCGAGCAGAGTCATGTCCAGTGCACATGTATACATGTGTATATGTACGTACCGCAGTAATCGTCTCCATGCAGAGCACAAAGGCATCCTGCGTCAGGTATCGCGAGTCACTCAGCGCGTACTCCTTCCACAGCTGGCCAAAGACATCGTTCATGCCGCCCATGTTCCTGAAATTGTAGGCAAAGTAGCCCTCGAAGAACGAGTGGATGCATCCGCAGAGGACGAACCACATAATCGTGGCCAGGTCCCCGGTGCTGGCTTTGGGGCGCGACTGCTTGACCACCACGTAGGTAGCGCCGAAGATGGCAACACATCCCGCCGCAAACATGAGACATAGATCCAGCGTCGTGTTGTTGTTGGCCAGATAGCCAACAATCTCCTTGTCAATGGGGTAGTAGGGGTGCGCGGGCACAGGCTGTGAGTCGTTGACTTGGGCCATGGCTGTGAATCGCAAAATGAATGGAACCAGACGGCGAACAATGAGCGGCGTATGTACAAGAGAGAGAAAGAGAGAGAGTGTGTGTGTGAAAGGAAGAGAACAAGGGTCCCAACGACGTCAATGAGCGGTCTGCAAGCACGGCGGACGTCGAGGTGTTGGATGAGTGGACACGCAAAGGGAAAATGTGCTAGGACAGCCCTGTACCAATTACACGCCTTGCCCTGGCGCGCGTGGGCCGGGGGTCCACCCGCGCCTGTCTTGGCCCATGACAACAATCCCACGCCGCTGCTCGTCATCACAACATGCCTCGTCGTCCCGCGCCAACGGTTCCTCGACATGCACCAGCTACAACATCCCTTTTCCTTCGCAGGCAGTCGACTTGGTACATGTAAGTAGTTGTGGTCCATCTCATGCAAAGCACACCCAGGTATGCGCCGAAGCCCCCTTTGGCACTGGCTGGTCTGCTGTCACCGGACACCCACCACAGGAGTCGCCAGAGGACCAAAGCGTTTAGTCGCGAAAAGAAAGCAGGACATGGCAAGAGGCTACACATAATACTTCATACATACGCATTACTGCGTATTGAAGACGACCCGATGCAGACTTCTATGCGCGACCCCATTCGTATTGTCAAGGGCCAATGCTTAACCCCAAGCCACTACAGTGCCCGTGCACCAGATGAGCACCATCGCCAGTTGAGCACCCCCACCACCACAACAACAAAACTTCAACGCGTCAAAACTCAACCAATATGGACCCGATTCAAGAAGCGATTGCAGAAATCGAATCGCGAGAACCAGGAGATAAATTCTCGTATCAAGCAATCGCGAAAAAGCATGGTGTAGCACGAATGACGTTGATGAGACGACACCGCGGCGAAACTGAGGCCTATGGCGTGCGCAACCTCTCCCTCCATCCACAACACGAGAAGGAGCTTGTACGATACATCGATACGCTTACCGAACGACGTTTGCCACCTACGAAGGAAATGATACAACGCTTTGCTTCAGATTTGGCTGGAAAGCCGGTTTCAGAAAGCTGGGTTGACCGGTTCATCCGCCGGCACCCCAACCATCTCATCTCTGCCCACAGCAAGGGGATGAGCAAACTTCGTTGCAACGCCGATTCAGGAGCCAAGTACAGCTTGTATTTCAAGCTTCTGGTTGAAAAGATAGAGGAGTACAACGTCCAACCCTCCCATATATTCAATATGGACGAAAAGGGGTTTCAACTTGGAAGGATTGGCAGAACAAAGCGTATCTTCTCCAAG